ATCAAAAAGAGGAACAAATTTCCTTTGTTTTGATATGTTAAGTGTCGAACAAAAAGCAGATTTACCCTCGTCAAATGGCGTTTCAAAACAGCTGTATCTTCCTCCTTTTGATTTTTTCCTGTTTTGTAAGCGTGAAAGCAGTAGGAGAGGGATCGGGAAACTCAGAAAGCGCTTCGGGAATTAGTCTGCCATCGTTTACTTACAAGATAAACAAGTAAGATTTGTGAAGTTCGTTGAAGTACGAAGTCTAAATAAATGCCTTTTTAAGCTTGTTTGCTGGATTTTTCGTAAACATCCCTGATTAGTTTTTCGTTTCAGCTTACTAATCTATACTGTTTCAAAGCAATGTAAAGACGAAGACGGAGAACCATGAGTCGGTCCTTTCAACAATCGTAAACAAAGTGTTTGAGCAATCAGGTATACGAGGTGTAATAATCAATAGCCGCACATTAGAAGTCTTCAGAAAGAAAGTATTCTGTCTTCAGAAGGCTGTCAAGAAAGCTAGTGATCGTGGCGGAAGGCAATTAAATGCGCTTCTTAGCAAGTTGGAAACGGGCTTTCGGTATCGATTTAATATCATATCGATCTCAGTATCATACAGTTTTGTATCTTTCCTCCGTGGATTCGCCTTTCTAACGAGGGTTTATGTTGAGTATTCATTGCAAAATCGCTTTGTTTTTTTCTTTCTTTGGCTTGTCCGCCATTTTGAAAATTCGTAACGGAGAGCATGCGCATTACGTGGGGTTAGTGGTTGCGTACACCTGGAACCGAGAAAAACAAATGTTCGTCGCACTGGGGAAAGAGTTTGATATGGTTATACAACACAAATCGTTTTTTTCTTTTTCTTTTTTAAATTTACTCAACTCCATCATTTGAAAACAAATATTCCCAAAACGTGAACATGCAACTGAGCTGTAATGTCAAAATTCCACGAAAAACATCAATGACGCCGATGCGCATGCCAAGAATAAGAAACTGCTGAAAGATAGGGCTGAGCCTGCGTTACAGTTGTCTTTGTCATTGCAACAGGTGATATCACAAGTGAAATCAGAGACAGCGGTTTCTCCACAGGTAGAATTTTCTGAGCTTCCACAAGAGAGCTCACGAGCACAGCCCTTGGAGAATATTTCACTTCCGCCATACTTAAAGTAGACCTTGATGCATTGGTTTTGTTGGGGAAGACACTTTTCCTGTGAAACTTTACAATCGTCCCACGAGGTTGAACTTGTACAAGCATTACATTCCAGACTTGATACTAGGAAAATCAAGTTAAGAAATTTTGACCATCAGTATTTTGTATATTGAAGCACTTTGGATTGCGGCTTTTCGATTCAAGTTGCATTTTTAGAAGTTCAGAAATGTGATTTGAGATTATTATTGTTTTCAAACCATACAAACATTTTATTTCTTTCCACATGAGCTTCTGAGCTTCATTGAAATTAATTTTAACTTTCACCAAGTGGGGAGGGGTAGCATGCAAGACTACTTCCGTTTACAGTCCAAGACGCAACTTCCGTCCACAGTCGACAACTTCCATCAACAACTGCTACACCACGATACCTCATTCATTGCTTTCAGCATGAATGAGCTAAAAAAGGAGGCCAAAACTTAACAACATAGAAGAATGCAATGATCTCCCAAAAGACTGCGACAAACTGTTGATCCGTGAACAACGTTGTCAACATTAGCATAATGCATTTATTGAAAGAAAAGCGGTTCTCTTCCGAAACGTCTGCAAAGACAAAAACTAGGCTATGCAATAAGGTGTCTTTTTATTTCTATTCGCTTTGCCAAAGTCCTTATAAAAATTATTTTCTAAAAATACTATTTCTATCATTATTTCCCTCTTCGTGGCAGAGGCGTTTACAATTAATCTTGTACTTTACTGCTAAAAATTGATGTGGAGAACATTTATTCTACAAAAATATCATGACTTGGAAATTTATTAAAAATCACAAATTGTCAATTTCATTTAGTTTAATCCGCGAAGTAATCCTCGAAGACTCCAAGGGCGGGCAGGATCTATGTTACACATGTCACCTTCACAGCAGACTGTGGAACAAGCAGTCAATATGCCACCAGTACTGTCGTTGGTAAGTTTGCACACTGCAAAGAAAACATCACGCTAAGGTAAGTTTAGTAGAGAGGATTGGGGCTTAATCATTTGACCCTTTGAGGACTTGCAGTTAACCGTTATACTCCCGAATAGATTTGCGAACGAAACTCTATATCCAGGAACAGCTGGAGTAGCTTCGGGATTAAAATTACCCAAGGAAAACGGAACTTTTCGGATACGCTTTAAGAAGAAGACAAATTGGAAAAGTTTAATTTTCCGTTTTGATGTTGACAGGAAACAATTGCCTCTTTGTGCGACATGTAGACTCCAATTATGATGTAATATTTCTCGAGCATTATCGTCTAGATGTGCTTTTGCTAGGCTCATTGACATTTTCCTTTTCACTAGCTACAACGAATTTCATTGAAAATTATAAAATGATTGACGGTGTGTCTGAAAGCTTATTAAACCACTTCCATGCATCATGAGGGGGGAGGGGAGGGGGTAGGGGGGGAGTGAAGAAAGGAGCACCGATCTCAAGATTGTCGCAGCAAATATTCACTTACAATCGAGGTTGCTGTTCTTGTCACAAAACAAGCTCCTGGAGCTGCAATTCCTCATCTCTGCGTTGAGTGGATTTTCCCCAGGTACTTGCACGGTCATTTTGAAAGTCATACAGCTATCAAAGCCTGGAGAAGTGCATTCGATGGATTTGATATCCTGACTGGTGCACGAACTGAATGATGATGGGTATCCTGAGATGTCTGCACATTCTTGGCATTTGAGAGCTAGAACTGAAAATATTGCATGAATGTTAAATTGTTGCGTTTCTCTTCCCCAAGAAGAAAATTCAAGCAACATGCAAATAAATTGAGTTTGGACAAAGCTATTCAATCAATTTTTTGATCTTATTAATTTTTGACATCATAGTACAACGATTCCACCCCACCCAGTATTCTATTATGGAACTGTTCAGGGAACAGTTAGTGGTAACTATTAATAGTTTGTTCAGGGAACTGTAATACTCCTCTGTTAGACTAAAACGCACTTTACTTAAATTTTAACATTTACGCGAACTAACTTCTGATAAAAATAAATCACTACACGACGCAGTTATATATCTGAAAATCACACATTCAAACTCATTATTTCACTTCAAAACTTTGTCGTCGGCGCTCTATACACTACATGAACATAGACACATTTTCCTCTTTAAGTTGCGAGTTCCGCCTCGCGTTATGTCTGCAGAGGTCAATAAATGGGGAAAGAGCATTTGCGAAAAATGATCAAAAACTACCAAGCATAAACTGGGAGAAACACTGACAAGATACCAAGCTCTCTTATTGCACTCTATATCCCCACGAGGCTAATTGATTAAATCATTACGAAAAATGTCAGAACCATCCCCTGTGGGACATGTTCACTTACCAGTTGAAAGCGAAACGAGGAGAGCGCATACACTAGCTAGCCACAGTTTCATTTCGATCAGATGTATGTTAACCGATCAGGGAGCAGATCCTTCAATATGCAGAGCTAGAGGATCACCGGTACCTAGTAATGTAAAGGACCGAACAATCCGCGCCGCATTTATACAACTTCCTTTATGCCTACTGACGTCATGCTAAAGCTCCTTAAAATTTCTCGTGAGGTAGTCACTTCAAGATCGTTCAAAGCAGAAAAGACATTCGGAAGTTCGTCATCGTTGATCGTGTAATCCTATACCTCTGATGTAGGTAAGAAAGCATTTTGATCGGAGTTAAAAACAGCATGCATGCATCAGATTTTAGTTTTAGGCTCACAAAATATTAAATCCTCCGCAGATTTTCTACGGTCTTGCTTGAGTAAGAAAAGGCAAGAGGAATGACTCCTCAGTTGAGAGAAGAAAAAAGGAAAGAGAAAGACGACAGCGATGAATGAAGGTGAATGAGGAAAAAAAGCTTCAGGTTTCCTACCAAAGGTCACTACGTTAGTATCATCTATTGATGTCATAACTTTCATGCTGTTATTTTCAGCCAATTAGAGCCAGGCATAGAAACGGCAGTCATCCACTGAGGAATTATTCAAGCTGTTATCATCGACACTCAAAACTTGACTTGCCTGAACAAAACACACGGCTAGTCATCTCTTAAACTAAGTATAGTTATGTGACGTGACACTTCCTGACAATAATTTTGAATAGTCCGCACGAAAGCATTTTCCTAGATCGAAAAAAGTTTGGGTTTCGCTTCCGGAGCATGCCTTACGCAGGGGTATGATTTATTGAATGACCTCGTTGTTATGCTTCTCGTTTTTCATTAGACTAATTAAGCAAATTCTTACGGCCTGAATCGATCAATATCATGTATTTTGAGCTATCCAAAAGCCGTGTCTAAAACCGAAACTCTAAGCCCTAGAAGCCATTATTAGTGCCAGACCCCAGCAAAACTTTCCCCGACTCGTCTCAAATCTTCTCGCTGAGAAACGTGCGTCCTCTAGAGATAATGGACTTACTTGCAGCTTCCGGAAAGATGGCCATTCTGCTGAATGGTAAATCAACTAAGCTCCGGCATAAATGAAGACTAGAAGGTCATACTTGAACATAAATAGGAATTTTATCTTATATGTTTTTACCAAATCACCCTCTCACTCCAACACCGTTTTTTTGAACAAAAATCCTGTTTAATCAGTCTGTTGATTGAGAAGTGAATACTAGTCCCTTCTCATATTGAGACTAAAAGAGAATTTGTAAAATAAACAACCCAGCGTTTGGAGTGCTGGTAGCATAAATTGATATTTTTCTGAGATGTCCATACATGATAACAAACAAGCCTGAGATTTTCTGAGCCTCTAAAAATCAAACGTTATCAATCGTAAGTAATTGTTATACAACACAAAACGTTTTTTTTTTCTTTTTTAAATTTACTCAACCCTATCATCTGAAAACAAATATTCCCAAAACCTGAACATACAACTGAGCTGTAATGTCAAAATTTCACGTAAAACATTAATGACGCCGATGCGCATGCCAAGAATAAGAAACTGCTGAAAGATAGGGCTGAGCCTGCGTTACAGTTGTCTTTGTCATTGCAACAGGTGATATCACAAGTGATATCAGAGCCAGCGGCTTCTCCACAGATAGGATTTTCTGAGCTTCCACAAGAGAGCTCACGAGCACAGCCCTTGGAGAATATTTCACTTCCGCCATACTTAAAGTAGACCTTGATGCATTGGTTTTGTTGGGGAAGACACTTTTCCTGTGAAACTTTACAATCGTCCCACGAGGTTGAACTTGTACAAGCATTACATTCCAGACTTGATACTAAGAAAATCAAGTTAAGAAATTTTGACCATTAGTATTTTGTATATTGAAGCACTTTGGATGAGCGTGGCCTCTTAAAACTCTCATGACACAGCCGACAACAGAGGCAGTGAATGGGCACAACTCACCGACAAGTACATATTAAATAGCCGCCCCGGTTGTTCAAAGATTGGATAACGCTATTCACCAGATAAATCTCTATACGGTGGATAATAGAATATGATTTGCTATCACTTATCGACCGGATAGCAATTTATCCGATGATCCGTTGGATAGCATTATCCGTCCTTTATACAACTGGGCCCCGATCTATAGCATACGAATCTTGATTTTCGTGCGTAATGTGATAAATATTATCAATTTTAAATGAGCGGCCTTGAAAAGAGAAAAAGGGAATGGACTCAGTGTGAATTAAACTGAAGGAGTGGAAGCTGAATACTTGCACTCGGAATCATTTATTATTCCTTAGATATGTACTGGCATTATTCATTTTCCTTTCAAACTCTTCACGGTTATACATTATTCAAGATTTTACATAGAAAGTACTGAGAATTTTTCTCATAAATAGTGAGTTGTAGTGTCATTAGAGTTGGTGATTAAACATAATTATCAGTCGTACAAGCCTATTGGGAAACAATAAACCGAAAATCGACCGATATGTACTGGCATTATTCATTTTCCTTTCAAACTCTTCACGGTTATACATTATTCAAGATTTTACATAGAAAGTACTGAGAATTTTTCTCATAAATAGTGAGTTGTAGTGTCATTAGAGTTGGTGATTAAACATAATTATCAGTCGTACAAGCCTATTGGGAAACAATAAACCGCCTGAGAAAATGAATTAGGATGAAAAACTTGAACTCTGGCCGAGCCAAAGAAAGCAAAAAAAATCAACGATCCCGCCCCAGACTAACCAGTGATGATGTTATTCGTTTCTTCTTCAAACCTGTGGTTCATTATTTATATTTCAACTCCCACATCCGAACTTTTGCGCATTTAATTGAGATCTCAGTAAACCGAAGGCAGCCCGCCTCATTCAACCAGCTGATAAAATTCGCCACTTGACACCATATACAATCTTGAGAGCAGATCATTTAAAAATGCTACTGTAAATCATTGCATAGCTTGAACAATCTCACGTTTTGGGTGGTTCATCAAAATATTCTAAACATATATTACCATTTGCATGCATAACCGCTTTCTTAGGGCAGAGTTCTCGTACTAAAAACAAAAACTGTAGAATTGCGAAGCAACAGACCTAATATGCAGGACTCGCACATGCAGGCTAACACTTATGCTGTTTTTTCGGTTGGCAAGGGACGCAATCAATTTATTACATTTTTTAAACGTAGTTATAGTGCTGAGCGATTTTAAGGTTCATCAAGACTAAGAATTTGCATTACAATGAATTAACCGGTGGCTGACTACAAAAAAATACTAGATGAACTTTCAAATATTTAATTTCGAATTTTTAAAATGAATTTTTTATATGGCGGTTGCAAACGTTTCTTAAATTATCGCGATAGATCTTGGTTATTGCAGAAGTTAGAATAATTTTTGTTTTCTTAACCTGATTAGAAATTGCTGATCAATTTTATAGATGTCTTTTAGCCTAGTTAAAAGGAAAAAAGCAGATAAAAATCCTCATACCGGGCAGGAATAATTACCCCGGCGTTATGAAATCTATTTCAACAATCATGAAGGCTTTGCATAAAGTATTAATTCTGGACACTTTGAAATTCTGGTTGCCCATAAGAACATATTTCAACTTTCACTGCTTTAGATCATATTCTGCAGAGACATTAAGAGGGGCTTTGTGTAGATAACCCTGAATTCACAAGAAAGAGTACACAAATCACTTCTATTGCCGAGTAAGTGTATGTTAGTGTTTACATGTACATGCGAGACTTTATTGTAACTTGATACCTATCCAGCTCATATCACTGTCTATAGGCCTATTTCACATCATGACTTAATAGCAATTACCAGAATAACCAGCAAAGTTTGAAGTTTGAATAAATACGAAATGAGCTGCATTTTCATCTCGCACTACAATTCTGGAAAGATGTTTAGTGAGTGAGGTTATGTCGAAATAGCGACTTACGGGAGAGAGGGACCTTACTCAGAAAAAAACGTCATGATTACTTTTGTTTCCGAGTAAGGTGCGTTTTATTCGTCTCAGCGTAAGCATCTCTTACCTCTTCAGTCTGCGTTAAGGCAATTTACCGTATGAAAATGGCTATCCAGCCTTTCTGTCAGTGCTTATATCTACATTTTACATTAAATTCTTACCGTGATGATAAGCGATGAAAAGCAACAGCAAAAAAGCGGCGACCCTCACTTTCATCTTGTATTGTTTAACCGTTCTTGGTGAGCACTGACGAGCGAATTCGTTTGTGATCCGTACGAAATCATATAATTTTTAATGAGATGCTTGTTTAAGAAAAGCAAATTGGCTCTCCCTGTACGTTAATTTTTCGATTGACCAATCATACCCTGATATGACTAAGCTCACAAAACAAGCTCCTGGAACATGTTCAAGATCCTTTGTCTGTACCTCTCAGTTTAAAATTTTAATGATAACAATAATAAATATAAAATCCTTGGCCTACCTCAAGACCGTTTGATGTAAAATTGTCGGAACTTGATGCATGTCGCCGAAAAAGTTTCCCTTGTCTGAAAATAAAAAGTTTTCGTTGTGCGCTGTGCAGAGTTCAGTTAAAAGTCCCAAGTATTGATGACTCGGTTCGAATCGAATCGAACGATCTGCGATTTTTTTTCGCCTAGAATAACTCATATTCACGTCAAGGACCTTTTTTAACTAACACCCAGGCCTTTCTCGGCCTACGCTTTGCCCAACATTTGAACTGCAGCATGGCACGGCGCGCCCCTGCCTAAATAATACACTGGGTGTTGACTTTGAGACTCGAACTAAAATTCTAGACTCAGCTATTCAAAGAAATGTGCTATCTTTAAGCAACTCCTGCAGCACTGAAATATTTCAAAAAAGCAAAGTATTAAAATGTTATTCATTTATTGCGTTCGAAGTTAAGAGGACGCTTAGTACACGTGTCGCTTCTCTCTGGATGCTCTGCCATTTCAGTTTTGGGGCGCCTTATAAACTGGCTGACCACTCGCCTCGATATCATACAAGAGCTGCGAATTCTGTTGGCCAGGAGCCCATTACTTAATGGGCTCGTTAGCTGAGTGTTATCCTCGGGCAGACTCGCTTAGTTCTGGATGTTCGTAGCTTCACTGGATTTTGTTAACGCGGTGAAAAAAATATCTATTTCTACGCTAGATCGAACGCACTTTTTGCTGATCCATGATTATTTCTAGTTTATCTTTCTTAATTCGAGCGCATTTATAATTAGCCTTTTGTTTGAACACACCGCCCTGGTTCCCCATCCCTCCCCCCTGAGAAATACCCCTGTGGAGTCTCACGCACGGAGTCTGTGCGTTTTCCTAAACTCCGGAGCATTGCAAACTGTGCCAACTTAATGCCTATATATGGTAAACTATTGAATCGGTTTTGAAAAATACTGTCGTCCTAAGAGTCACGAATACTGAAAAGTTGAACATGTTTTCTGGTGTATCGTATATGGCTATTTAGAAACAGAAAAAATCAATGGAAAAAAGTGTGATTGCGTTTGTAAATTGCTGCACGTTTGCAAAAGACGAATAATCAAACTAAAGGCGAAATGTGACGAACAGATTTGAGAAAAGCCATTGCGTTACCTCGAGGATATATGCGCGACAATGGAAATTTATGAAGGGTCGGGTCCAAGTCTCATAGTTTACACGTTTTTGCGAACAGACCACGGTTCTGCCGCTTAAAGGGGAATATTTTTCTTGCACATAACAGTTCTAGTGTGTCTTTTACTAACTAAAGATACAAAGGGCTTTTGTTTCAAGCGATCAAGGGATTGAAACTTGCAAATTTCCTACACGCCCCCTACCCCTGTGAGACACAATATACAAGGCACGGTCCAGTGATCAGAACAATTATCCATTTATCGCGTGGCTTGAAACACAATAACCTAGAATTAGGGTTGGGAATTTTTGTAATTTCATTGTTCCTGTCTTGGGTTGTATTCTCTCGCTTCACTCTCAGCGATAGCGGCGATTTTTGGGAAAATCAGTGTTAATCGGTTTAATTGTCCACCAGCAAAATGGTAAGTGAATCTCACTTGTCGACTTTTTACGTATCTCACTTTGAACCCCGCGTGATGTTAGTTGAATGTTGAGTCATTTTCAACCGAAAGTTTCATGGTTTTCAACATGACGCTGTATGTCGATAGTCCCGATGAGTAGAGCCCCTAAACTAACACAATTATAGAGTTATTGCTAAATGTCGTCGTCATCCTCGTATTTTGAGAGGTAGAGGATTAATCACCGCAAATCAGAGAGATCCAAATTCAAAACAGACCGAATTATGTTCTTCATCGGTTGTTTACACACCGCCCAGTACTAATCTTCCGCTCCGAATCCTAATTTTTATTCTTACTTTTGTCATTAATGTTATTCGATTTGATTTCTTTTCTTGGACTATTAACTCTTATAATGAGGGTTCAGTGATCGGAAAACACCAAGCGAAACAATCCGCTGCAATGCGAACAGCAAACTTTAACTTCTCGGAATGCATTGGTCAGTTCAGGAATGTAAACAATGCAGCTGTAGTAGATTTGGCGTGTTTTCTCTCATTTTGCAAGCATTTACTGCGTTTGAATCCTTCCTAGTCTGTACTCAAACAGCTCGAAAAAGAAAATCTCTCTGATTTCTAGAGAGGTGTCCATGTAGTTTTGAAAAAGCTCGTACAGTGTAGTTACTCGACACAGTCACTGAATTTGTATGTCGATCAAATTTGTCTGTTTATGCTTTCGTAATTAGTCGAGTGCCGCTGTGATCTCGGATAAGGCGAGAGTATTAAAACATCGGAAGACAGATCCACCGTAAAAGATCACGCGTGGCCGCTTGGTTTGACAAATTATACGAAGCGAAAAGCGTACCTTTCTCTTACGCTCAACACCGAAATTTGATTGCAAACAAATTAGAAGCGTCTAATCCCTGTGTCCATAAGATAAGTAGCGAAAATTATCGCCGAATAGTTACTTGTGATAAAATTAATGCGATTGATCGTTATTTTATTTTCGATTTACCTTTGCTGTAGCTGTCACAAGGATTCTGGTTGTATTAAATGAGCTTGTGCAATCTGCGTCCAAGTTTTTCTTAAGTTTCATTAATTATTTCTGCAAAATTGCTTTTGTTGTTTACCAGACATAAAGTTAGGTTTGTCTAAAGATTTAGAAGCTTAGTAATTATACAGCTTTAATTCACATTTGCTAGTTTGTATTATTGTTGCGTGGTGTGACTTCTGTTGCGTGACAAAGGATCAATTTTTTTATCACACTGTAGTACAACTAACATTTCTTCATTTGCTTCAGTCGGCATCACTGAGTCCAGAGCAGCTGAAAGGTAAGCAAGAGTCGCGTTTCCGTTCATTTTTTACATGAGCTTAGGCAGCCTGTGGTGAGGAGCAGTTGTTACAGTTATAGTGATCAGAATGAGCAGTATACCCAAACATGACCTCAAAACCAATGTTGTTAATGATATGTCAAAGCTGTGTCATTTCTGCTATACTTATTAAATCATACTCGATGCCTTACGGTAGCCCAGCTGTAAGAATAAATTATTATTTGTTATTTCATATTCAAAGAATGTCAAAGGTGCCTCAATTCATACATTATTTTGGTGCACAGAGCAATGAATTCTCACAGTTTTGTCTCGCCCCCAACATGTTCCTTTGTAGCCCAGTTTGTAGTAGCACTTATCAGGTACCTGGGGGCAAAGCCAATTGTTTTTAAGCTCTGTTTCTGGAAACGCGAAATGTCGACTTGTCACGCAGTTCCCTCCACCAATTGTCGAGTTTCGCTCATCTTTATCATCAAATGTCGAGTCGTCACGCAACTTGATAGTTAATCGTCGTGTTTTCATGCAACTTCCTAACCATTTGTCGTGTTGTTACTCAACTTCTTCATCAACTGTTGAGTTGTCACGCAATTTCGCCACTAACTGCGGAGTTGTCACGCAATTTCTCCACCAATTTTCGATTTGTTTCGCAATTTCATAAAGTGACTTATTGGTAGTCACGCACAGCTGCGGCAAGATTAAAAAAACAACCAGTGGTATTGTAGACCGCGTGAACGAAACACATGATCATGGCACTAATCGCACTAACTGAATAGAATCCCTGTGCTTCTGTGCTTCAGAATTCAGAGAAGCCTTCAAGATCTTCGATGTTGATAACAGCGAAACGATCACAACGGATGAGCTGCTTCTCGTCATGAAGAACCTCGGGATGATGGCCACTAAGGAAGAGGTGAAGGAAATGCTGTCGGAAGTCGACGAAGATGGTAAGTAACTTTAAGACGTGTGCGTGAGAACTGGCGTTACCTCTGTCCCGCAGGCGACACGTACGTTGTCTCATTTTAGCTCAAATCGTAGAGGCGAGGAACAGACCTGGGATAACACTTGAGAAAACGCTGTTTCTGCCACCCGTACTGTGGCTTTTGGTCGATCCCAGCCAGCCCGTGGGATGATGTTGGGTCCTAGCTATGCTGCGAGGTTTTTTATGAGCAGTTTGCGTTGCATTTGTTTCCTCTTCTGTCCATAAAGGTGACCAAATATCCAAATTCTAATTTGAACTGAAGCATAGGATGAATGAACACCTTGAGATATTCCATCACTAAATTTCAATTTGTTTACCAGTCAAGTGTTATGTTATAAAGCCAATTTTTTTTTTTATGTTTTGATGGCTCGATTCCCGCCGTTTTCTCGAGTCTGGTCTTCGATCCTCTTGAGAGGAAACCACAAGGTGTGTTTGGAGGTCCATTCTCCAAACAGCGGCTGGTAATCGAACCTACGAGAAGGGAGTATTACGGGATACCCGAAAGAGGGTATAAAAAGGTGAAATGTAACAGGAGAAAGTTTGAATTTCCTCCCTGCAGTGATATTATTGCTGTTTCTAAAGTCTTCATCTCGAGCAGAAGCCTACTAGTGGTTGGGAGACCTGCGGTTCTTCCATTCCGGGCCCTGACGGCTATACCAGCGGGGATTTGAACCCCATGGGTGGATTCAACTGATATCAGGCCGGTCGGAGCTCCTTCCCCTTCCTCCCCCCCCCCCTCCCCATACCTTCAATGGGGCTTTAGTTTAGGGTTACATACTCGACAAGGGTTATACTGAACCGCCTGATTACGCCTAAACCAATGGCCTTGTTCGACTTCACGGACATTGGGAGGATACCTCAGTATTTCAAGCGTAAATTTAGTTTGATCGCCTCATAATCCTGCCGACAGGTAGTGGAGAGATCGATTTCGAGGAGTTTGCAGAACTCATGGTAAAACAGATGAAGCAAGGAAGTGAGCAGGAGGTGAGAGAAGCTTTTAAAGCATACGACACCGAAAACAAGGGATACTTTACAAGCGACGAGCTTCTAAAACTGCTTATGGCCGTGCAAAAACAAAGCAAAGACATCAAAATCTCTAAAGAAGAAATAGAGGACATAATCAAGTTCATGGAGCGAAATGGACGAGTCAACTTTGACAGTAAGTGTTTCGAAAGAAATGTAAACATAGTAATGTAGCCTTATTGAAGCGAGTGTTAGAAACTCAAACATTTGAACCGCGGTGATTAGAGTCATTCTGTCACGCTCTGCGTTACTTTCTTGCGCGTCTAGCATGCTGGGTATTTTGGAGCGAGGCTCTGTTCGTATGCCCGCCGCAGCGTAATAGATTCTTGTTGCACTGAAAATGTTTTTCAACATCAATTTTTACAGATTTCTCTGATCGTTTCAATTTTCGTTCGCTTTCTTTGCGGGAAAACGGTTGTTTCTTGTGTTTTCCCTCGTGGGGAAGTAGCGCCCGGGGGGCCAAAATTGATATCCTCGCGCATGACCGACGTTTATCGTTTCATCTTTTTATTTGTTTAGTTACCATTATTATTATTATTATTGAATTTGAATGAATCGTGCGAGTTAGCCCTTTACACCCTAACATCATTATATGTATTTTCCGTATGACATTCTCTTAACGTTTCCTAAGGTGGTGATATGGAAAATTTGTTTTAAAATCAAGAGCCCTCTTTGGTGGTGATCATTTCCTTCATTCTCTTTACCTTTACGTTTGATTCAGGGGTGATATTGTAAGGAGAAATTAGAAGCCAATCACTCTTAGGGGTGAAAGGGTCAATACAGTAGTCAAAAACTGGGGCCTTATCTAATTGAGCTATCTCATTTAAAATTTTTGCAGAGTTTGTCAACGAGATGATGAAGTAAACGTTTACGCTTGATGGACTGGAAAGTTTTTCGAAGAAGGAAAACTGTTACTACTACACAAAGCTCTATTTGAATGGATTGTTTATTTTAATGGCTCCACTTGGTCTATGTTTGTGGGGTATTTTGTAGATTTGTTTTTTCGTGGATGAATAAATTTTCATCTCTTATTTTAGTTGTAGTTGTGACGAAATTGAAGGCTACTGCAGTCTATCACTCAATTTAAATTGCCAGAATCACTCTGAAGTCATTGTTCCATACTTGCGCGCAATTGTGTCGCAGATCAAAGATAGCAAACCAGCCAAAACAATAGAGCCTAGCAAATTAATTGTAATAAAACAGAGACGACCCTCGTAGGTTCTTGTACTGCGATTAACCTGCTCTTTCATATGCCTGGCCTTATAGTAAACCTCTTTTAAAGCAAGCTTCAGGGTTAGTAATTGTAAGAGTCTCATAAATAAAGCTGCACGGGTAATGAAGGTTACAACTGACAAAGGTTCTTGGAACATTTTCTAATAGTAGGTTCCCTTAGTATAGATTTCTGAAAGAGATATTCCCAGGAAGTTCCAGTATATTATATGCTCCTTTAACTCCCGTGACTGACCAAGACAGAATTTCTCCTTACCATATCTATGCAATATCATGCAGACAAGTGATGAGAATAAAGACAAATATCAATTATGGGATTACTAATTGATCCGATACCAAATTCTCCAAACTAACATAATGAGAATCATTTGGCAGACAGTAAGGAGAATTACTAAAAAGATCTCGGGAGGTAGAGGGTTAACAAATAGATATGATTCCATGTTACCGTGCGCCTGTTCAGTGATAGATCACATATGATGTCAAAATGTATTAACCCTTTGCACTCTAACATCAGTATGGATATTCTCTATACTCTTCTCTATACATTTCTTTAGGAGCTGACAAGGAGAATTTGTTTAACAATCAGGAGCTTCTTTGGTTTTGATCATTTCCTTTATTCTCATGACCTTGATGTTTGATTTAGGGGTGATGATGTAAGGAGAAATAGGATACAAGTCACTCTTTGGGGTTAAAGGGTTAGCCCTTCGACTCCCAGAAGTGATTAACATGTAAATTCTCCCTATAGTATTCATACACTATCCAGCAAACAAGTAGTGAGAATACTCAAACTCATCACATACAAGATATTATCTTGATTGAACAACAAATTCTCTTAATCAATTTACAAGGAAATATGGAGCAGCTAGAGGAGAGAATTAACAATCAGATCTTGGATGTTAGAGGGTTAATTAAGAACAAAGTGGTACACCTCCAAGTTTGTTAGATCATCTCATTTATCCAACTCTCAACTGAGGATTTCAGGCTAGCATAGTTCAACTAACAGTTTTTTACCTGTCTTCCTCTTTTTTCTTTTCAATATTTCTTATTCTTACTGACGGGATATAACGGTAAAAAAAATTAATTGACAGCATTTGAAATCGAGCGCGAAAAAAAAAAAGCTGCAGAGGAGCAATTAGGCAGCAACTATGCGATTAGCAGCCGAAAAGATTCGGGCTAGAGTTTCTAAAGAAAGAGCAAAGACTGCTGTAGACACAAACGTCCATTATTTTTCTAAATACTTCATTCTGTCAGGCGAGAAAAAGTGATAATGACTTGTCCTCTCGCAATTAAGGAAAAAGAAAAGAAATTATTCCTTAGGGAGATGACTTACTTTTTACGCTGTTAATTCGTGTTCCATTTCGAGCAAGTGGCAACAAACAAAATATGGAATTGTATTATTAAACTGACCTCTGATTATTATCGTCTGATTATAACGGGATTCTAAACGCAGCAGCTAGTAAACACAAAGACAACTGACGACGTCACAAAGGCCAGATATTGACCAGGAGTATTGTATTTGGATTGTGTGGTAAGTAAGAAGTCAATAACTTCAAGTTATTTACATACCATTCTTTAAAGACAACCGAACAAAGCGTTAGATGCCAACAGATCGAAAGATGAGTTTTCGAAAGGACAGCAAAGCTAGGACAATTAGCGATGGGGTAAGAAATTGTAAAAATAACTGAAGTATTTTAGTTTATTGAGAAGGTAAAAGGGTAAAGAAGTCTACATGTGTATGAGCTATGAGCTGTTTGCGGTAAAGGATTATGCATGCATCTTCAAGTAGCGGCAGAGATTATGAAACTGAAATGGCAGCCGCTCAGAGCAGGTTTCTTGAACAAAGTCCAGGTATAGCTTGAATCTGGCAACGTTTACGTTATCCATAGCGTTGTCTCGGGTTGTTGTTAAGCTGTTACATCGAAGCTTTTTAATTATTTCGGTGAACACAATACTACCAGGCCGAAATGGCGCTAATTAATTCGATGAGTGTACATATGAAGAAAGAAAATGCATTGTTATAACTAGCAAACCTTTGAGCTTGTAACTTGCACTCTCGTGTTTCTAAATTCATTTCATCGCTTCAACAGCCGAAGACAATTCAGGTTCGGGGATGTTTGACGATAATTATTACATAGTAAGGTGGGATGTGAAAGCCCCACAGAAAATTTAACACCGAGGAAATTGTCAAATATTCGTTTTCAAATCAAGTGAGGGATTATTTGTGACGGCTAGTTTTGAAAGCCGGCTTAGCGCTATCAATCCGAACTAGCCAGAGAGTTTCTTTTATCGGGGGGTGGGGAAGGAATCTATTGGGATTTTAAGAACGCTCACGTCATAATACGTGAGCTTCAGGTTGTAACCCGGTTTCGCTCCTGGCTCGGGCACGATTTTAGCTTAGAGTCAGTGTAATAAGTGCTTGAGAAAAAATAGATTGCTACAGGTATATTTCACTACCTTTCTTTTTTCAATGCTTCGTTTTGTTTAAAAAGTGTTGTGAAAGAGAAACTCCTTCAAATTATTTTGTAAAACTCTATTTTTACCGTTCATACTCAAACGCTGCAGATGGAGCCATGGAAAAAAATAATGCCATATCCAGTCGGAAGAATGAGGTGTTTATTCGAGGAAGATTACGAGTACATAGAACATCAAGTGTGGCACAACTTGGTGATCCGCAGTATTTTTAGATATTTATTTTAAAACAGCAAGATATAGAAAGTTCAAACACATTTCTGTGACACCAAATGTTTACAAGTGATTTATGGTAACTGCTGTTGGTGAATTTTGTCTTGATAAAGCGCGGTATCAGAAATTCTAAAGAGTAGATAACCGTTGGGGTGTCTAATGACGCATAGTTGTTACTTGAAAATCAAATAGGTATAATTTCTTGTACCTAATTTCTATAATTTTGATCAAAATCAATTTTTTTTGACAAAAAAAAAACTTCGCCACAATTCAACGTACATTTTAGACAATTTATATTTTTTACTTATAATTGCGATTTTTTTTCACAGGGTGAACTTTCCTCAGAAGTGATTTCAGGTAAAAAAAAGAACTCTACACATAAATGTTTCAGAAGTTCTGCGTGACCCAGCATTTTCTTTTATATCAGTCCGACTGTAAGCGAATTGTCATCAATACTATTTTCTTACAAGACTGAAAACAGGATTATTCATACATGCTGATTGGTCAATTTGGTCGCTTTTGTTTTCGCATAACATCCATTTGAAGCAAATGAAGAGTTATTCTCTGTTTTGTAGAGTTTCGCGAGGCGTTTTCCTTATTTGACCACGACGGAGATGGTACCATCACCACAAGCGAACTCCAAACAGTCATGGAGAGACTGGGGTTGAGTTCAGACCAGGAACAACTGAATGAAATGATCAGAGAGGTGGACGCGGATGGTAAGTGTCTACCTCAGGCTAATTCTTGTAGAAGGATGTTTTAGGATCCATCCCCAAAGAATGGGACCCGTCTGGCCCTCAGTGAAGGGTCTTATTAGGGAGAACTCAATTTATCATCAACTGAAAGATGATATTCTCTTGAGGCAATTTAAACACGTGGTCGTTTGGCAAACGGGTTGGATTCGCATTTGGAGGTCCAGGGTTCGAGTCCTTTTCTGACTAGTAAGGAATTTCTTTTTACGGGTAGACCTTGGGTTAACACGTCGATCCTTCTTGGAAATACTCGTAGTCAAATTGTTTTCTCCTCCTGCCCGAGGGCCCAGCCAGTGGGGAGGGCCCTGGGCCGCTCGTTACTTTCCCTTTGTTAGCCTTTTCTTGCCGAATCAGGTAAAAAACTGCCTGGAGGTCGACATGAAAATCAGGTGAATACACTCTGTTTGACACAATGTGACCCTCCACCCCCTTTTGAAAAATCCTGGCTCCGCCTCTGCCGCCTAAAGGGGTCTTCAATCATGATAAATTTGTTTGAAGTATTTCTTATTGTTTTAGTGTTATTCCTGTGTATGCCACAATCACGGAAAACTACTGAGACACCAACTAGTAATCTTGTCACTCGTTTTAAAAGTTTTTTTTTTTTTTAGTACCGATTGGAAATGGGAAAGGTGACTTTTCGATATCAGCCATTCAATTAATCTTTAATTGATGATTAATTCAGTCTTTCTCTTGCCCCAAGATGGACCACAAGAGTTTCCTCAGAAATTAATAAACTCCTTCCTATAAAAGAGGAAGATTTACACGCGAACGTTGCAGGGTAAATGGGGAGGGGTAATAGGGTGGCGAAATGCTGAGATAATGAGCCACACCTCCCCCTCCCCCCCCGTTATGTTTTCCCGGCCTTTTCCTGTTCGGCCTTGCCCCTCTCAGTTTTAATTGTTAATTGACGCCTCCTATGCGCGCTCGAAGTAAACTGAGTCTAACTACTTTACAGTCTGACTCAACTTTATCGTTCAAATTCCACCGTCACCGAATGAACATGTATAGTGTCGTTGGAAGCTTCTCAGAACAACAAGATTTCGAATTTGTTGACAAAGGAACAAAACCAACCAAACTGAAAAATAAAACTTTCCTTGTCCTCTTTCACCACAGGAAGTGGTGCAGTGGATTTTGAGGAATTCTGTGTCCTAATGCAGAAGAAAATTGCACAGGAAACCCAGTCCGAGCTCCTGGAGTTGTTCAGTATCTGGGATGAAGCTGGTAAAGGGATCATTGAGGCAGGGGAATTGAGATGCTTATTGAACAGAGTCCCCGTGCGGCTGACGAGGAGAGAGATTGATGCACTGGTTGATTATGCAGATACCAAGAAAAATGGGAAAATCAACTTTGAAGGTACGAGTCACTCTTTACGTAAGTTTACAAAGAAATAAAAAACCACAATTGTTTTTCAATGTGTTTCCTCTGTGAGTCAACATAATCAGCTGTGCATGCTCGGCTAGGTTATCTTTGGCAAAGGATCGATGTTAACCCTTACCCCCCCTAGTGACCAACACAGAATTTCGCCCGACAATATCAATACAATATTAAGTAGACAGGTGATAAGAATAAAGAAAAGTAACAACTAGAGGATTATAAGTTGATCCAATACCAAATTCCCTGAACTAACATCACAGGAATTTTAAGGCCGACAGTAAGGAGAATTACTAAATAACTGATTTTCGGAGTTATAAGGAAAACTTGCATATAAACATTATATACCTCTTCATGTTTGCTTCCTTGAAACCTCCTCGCGATCTCTTCGTAGCAAACAATTCGAAAATTTTCGTCTTCGCTTCTCTCATTACATTCGCATGCAAGTTAAATATTGAATCTAATCATTCAAACTTCTGTTTTCCCTTTAAACTTCACTGAGTTTGATGTACACTGAATATTATATCATGAAATCTCTTTCCAGCGATAATCAAAGTTTATTTGCTTTCATTTATTCATTTCAGAATTTGTCAAAATGCTGTCTTAAAGAAAAGAGCCTCCTTTTTGACCGTTTCAAGAAATTCTCTGACACTTGAGAGTTGAAGCAAAGAATTGACAAACTAATAAACAAATCATTATGCGTCTTGAGTGGGTGATGTCTTTAAATCGATTACTTTTTTTCTGTGTCAAGTGCTTTTGCTTTTCCTCAGTAGAATAGTTCAACTGTTTTTAAATACGCAACCATTTCAATCGAGATTTCGAGGTTGGACTTAAAACTTATTTCTTTGATTAGGATAGTGAACGATACTGATTGAGATCAAATGAAGTGTTGAAGTTTCGTATTATCGTAATGATTCGATTTAGCGCCCTCGTTCCAATAAGCTCTACTCTTTAACCCTTTTCCGTTTATTTCTAACGCTATATGCGCACGCTGAGCGAAAACCGGTTGCACAGCTGGTCCAGGAAAAGTGTTAACGAATGCATATCAGTGGCCACACGCATTTCAAAAGTCTATCGATAGAATAAAAAAAACCTTCGGTGCTGCGTCGTTGGTGGTATTACTAGATAATTTGGTTCTGTCAACTAAATTGATAACGTAAAATTGACCCCCACAGAGAGTTTCTAAAGCTGAGGTTTCGAGCGTTAGCTCTGCGTTGTTCTTTCTGATTAAGGGCTAACGCTTAAAACGTCATTGAAAATAAACAAGAAACAACCATGTCTGCCGAAGCTAATAGCGCTCCAACAATAACAAAACGAAGCTCAAACTATTAAGACCAGTGATGGAAGAGAACCCTCAACTGGAAAAATCTTCCAGTACTTTTACTGTGATGACAAACTTTAAAGCCAAACCTCTTAATTCATTAAGGTCCTGTGAATGTTTGAAATACTGATTATTATGGCGGTCTTTTTAATGTTTCTTTTATGCCCCAGCTAACGAGCCACATTGTAAAGAACTACAATGTAATATATCAAAGCAAACATGAAAAAAGGAGTTGGACATAAGTTATACTTAAAAATATTTTGACGAAATTCCTGAAACTTGGGAATGTGATTAAACGCTTTTACAAATATATGCGTCCTTTAACCCTTTACACCCAAACATCAGTATGTATATTCTCCTTACTGTTCTCTAAACATTTTCTATGATACTGAAAAGGAGAATTTGTTCAACAATCACTAGCTTCCTAAGTTGATGGTCATTTCCTCACTTCTCATGATACCGTAAGGAGAAATAAGGCATCAGAAGAGAGGGAAGGAACGATTTGGATCTCCCTCAAAAGATTAAGATAGCGAGTCGTTTTGAAAAGCTACGCATTAGGGAGGGATAATTTGGAGGTCGTTGTTTTGCGTTTTGCTGCAGTATTATATTTAGGTCAGAGTAAGTAAAGTCCCAAGCGGGAGGTGAAAGTCTCGCGCGCAGCCAGTTAGCGCTTTGCGCACATTTTACGGTTAATGAGCTTTGATTTCTTTTTTTCCTCCATGTAAATTTTCGTATGGCAGCCCAAGTTACGGACCAGCTTGATATTAAGGCTTAAAACTTATCATGGTAGATGGAAGTGTTGCAAAGAATCTATATATATTTGTAGGTCCTCAACATCATCAAATATAGGCATCCTAATCAATTTGCGCCAAAAGTAAACAATACAATATTATACGATTACTTTATGCTCGTGAGAGAAACAATTAGTTTTTTTTTTCCTGCTTCTTCACACAGAAAGCGCTCTTTTTTTTAGCAACAGGCCGCTCCACAGTGTTCCGAAGAACTAGCTAACGGAGAGCAAGCGACTTATTAAAATTGTCGGGAATCGCCAAGAAGTTCAGATAAAAAATATCACGCCACAATCACACCACTGGCCTCAGCCACGTTCTGATCACGTGTAAAACGTGGACATTGATCGCATTTAAGATATGTGTCCCACTCAGGAATGAATTTTGACATCGTGTCACAGTTATATGCTGGGTGCCAGGCCTGCTCGATATACGTTTTTCTTTGGTTCTTTTTCTTTTTCAGATTACACTAAAAAATTACGCGCGAACTCTGCTGTACCACGTGATTCTTGTTCCAGTCTTACCCTTTACACCCTTACATCAGTGTGCATATTCTCTATACCGATCTCAATACATTCCCTAAGGTGCTAGCAAGGAGAATTTCTTTAAAATCACTAGCATCTAGAGTAACTGATCAGTTCTCTTATTCTCGTGACCTTAATGTGTTAATAAAGGCTGAAATTGTAAGGAGAATTGGATGGTTGTTACTCATGAGGGTCAAAGAGTTCTCAATACTGAGCCAGTTTCAGTAGCGAAATGACCTGATGGGAAGAGAATTACGTGAAAAAAGTACTATCTTGGATTTGTGAAGATTTTTAAAAATGTGAGACATGACAGCCTGTCAATTCAAACCAGCGTCACCGATGTCTTTCCTTGATTACTTCGCGGTCTTATTGACGTGCATCACTGGATTGGTTCTGTTTGGTGCGTTTTATTTCCTAGAATTGGGCTTGAATCCTTTTCAACCGGAGCAAATAAGCCTCGCTTGTACAGGTACGGTAAAGAGAGCTAATATTCATCTTGTAAAGTGAACTGGGAAAAAATTCAGTTACTTCCCTCTGATAATTAAGGGGCCGCTCGACGAAATTTTGTCCAGCATATCGCATCTTCAGGATTGCAATGTTACCAGCCACAAAAATTTATAGAAAACTGATTTAAATAAACCAACTTGCGATCTATCATAATATGGATCGCTTTCTCCACTGAAAAGTGTTCATCCGATATTTTGATATCAAAAACAATGCGAGTTCCGTTTATTATAGTGGAAAATGTCTCTAAACGCTAGGAGGTCAGTTTTGGAATTTAGGCCAAAATTGAAATTATGTCCTGCTATTGAAGGGAAATGTGGAGTTATTTTTCATAATGTTACGATAAAATTTTATGGCTGATTCTACGAGCAGCTGATATTGTAATGGTATTGCGCGCCTCACTGTTGTGACGCGAGTCGCGCTCGAACGTTTCGTTAGTGTGACGCGAGTCACGCTCGAACATTTTTTCTTTTGTTAATGTTTAGTAATCGTAATTCGTATAACTACTTTTGGAATGTAATCGCACCAGGAAAATTAAAAAATTAAGCAGCAGGTAAATACCTCTAATTTTTCTCATAAGAGTTGTGCGATGTAAGTCAACGTAATTCTTTTTTTCACGTCTATGGTTCGAGTATTTGTGTTTATTTGGCCCTTGATTTTTCACTATTAGTCTTCCCACCACGTGCCATGTGATCTAAAACGATGTTCAATGACCCAGATTCAGACTAAATGTGCTAGCGTGGTACACGGTTTCAACACAGGTAGCCCAAGCTCACGTCTCGAGAAAAAGCAAACGATTAATTCATAAAAGCGTCACGTGTTGTGTGATTCGTTGATAAGTTACAAGAGGAACTGTTGAGAATTTTAACACGTTATAAGGAATAGTATGGGGAACGAAATATGGTCGATTTACAACGATAAATATTTTAAAATATGAACATTCTACATGTAAAATCAATGAAATTTACTCACATCTAGTGTGTCCGTCGCAGTTTCCTGCAATTTCTACCGTTCAAAGCTTGTTTGGCTATCACTGTTATTCCTGTTGTAAGACGAAGACAAGGCTGTACACTCCGATTTCGACCGCTATCCACGCGAAGGTGGCTTGCGCCCCGAAAATCGTCCCGATCGGCATTTTTTTCAGCCATAGTTTACGATCTGAGATCATTGCACCCTGGGACATGTCTCAATACTAAAACTTCCCGCGCATTTCGCTGAAAACGAGCGTTTTCCACTTGCATTTCCAAGTTCGCCTCTCTCTGGCTATGCTCTTGATGACCACCCAAGTCTCTTCCGCGCCCGTGTCTAGTCTACGAGGCTAATTTTCTCTCCACCCCGAGTGGTACGGTAGATTAATGTACAATACTTACCCCATTCCCACGGAGACACCTCGCCTTGATATATTGTCTCGATCAACCAATCAGACAGGGAGGTGAAACAAAAACTGATAAACAACGGACAAAATTTGAATACTCTTCGGAGTTTGGTATAAACTGTCGAAGGGGAAGAGATGCGGTGAAATTGACCGCGATGCAAATCCATTAAGGAAACCACAGAAACCTTTTTTCCAGCCGCTTGAAGATTTCCTTTACAACAGTAGACTTATTAGTTTCCCCTTGGAACTGGTCAAACTTGCCAAAAGCTATAATACCTAAATCTTTATCTAAGGTTCGCACTTGAAAATTTGTTCTGTATTAATAAAAGCTTCTCGCCCGTGATTTGAAAAGAAACTATCAATCCCCAAAGTCCTAGGTTATTCATCTTGAACCTTTGCCTTAGTTTACTCACTTCGCACTATTCGTGTTAAAGAGAAAATTGACCGCACAGGTCTCGCGAGGTTGCCAATATCAGTATGACACATGACAATTACGAGATATATTTATAGATTTGACACTCACAGTATTATTGGAATCGAATAAATAGAAATACACCTCGAACAGAGTTTGTTTCCGGGCTTAAAAACTTGGAAAAAAATTGATAAGAGGCATAATTACTTAAAGGCCCATTTTTACAACCTTGATGCAACGCGGTCGTTTGTTTCTGTTTTGAACCACCGCTTTTGTATAAATAGCGCCTCTGATTGGTCAGTTATTTTTACCCAATAAAGGCCAATTTTTGGTTTCTTGATCCCAAGACTCTACGAGTCAGATGTTTCTATTAAAGGAGGCATGGCGCAAAAACAAATAAACAGGCCTTACATTGCAGGCACCTCTTTTTCTTGTGTAGAGTCGCAATCCGGCTATAAAAGTCTTAGGCGATGAGAAATATTCCCCCTGTTATACTCTTTGAAAGGACGCTTATAGGGAGTAATTAAGCTCAGTGCTGACCTGATTTTAATTAGCTTAACATTCAATTTATGTGAGGTGTCGAAGACCGTTCGAATGATAATGACCTAGTTTTCATCATTGGAATTTATATTGCGCAGGTGACCCAACTGAAATGATGGTCACGTGGGTGACATTCAGTCCCACAGTAAACCCCACCGTTGAGTACAATGTTCACGGTGAGCCACTCAGATTTAACGCTGCAGGCATCATGACGAAATTCAAAGATGGCGGATGGTTGCATCGAGTGCTGTACATACACAGGACCAAACTTACCGGACTTAAACCAGATCAGTCGTATGGTGGGTAAATTTATTCATCTTACATTCACGAAAGGAGACTATTAGGCGGTAGTAACCACCCTTACTGGAAAATGTTTGAAAGCTTATTAGTCATTCTGATATTCTTGTAGTTACCAGATCTTCCAAGCCACCCCTCCCATCCCCTCCCCCTCTCTTTAGAGTTCGATCGCTGCGTATGCTGGAAGGAAGGGGAGATTGAACTTGAACTTGCATTGAACTTCTAAATTTGAGCAAATATCAGAATCTACGTACATAATCGTTAAAATAAGCCTTTCATTTCCTGGGCTTTTCTCTCATACAATTTTTTAGGTTATTTGAAACGTTGAAAAAGAAAATTCCACTTGTGATGATAACAAACGATTTGAATACAGTTTTTTTATCTCTTAATATTAGATGAATTGCGTTTTGGAATTTCATGATGATTGTTTGAATGGATGCAGGATAACGATCGAACGTCAGACAAACCTTCGAAGTACGACGTTATTGCCTCGGCATTTCAAGGAAGCCCTGTTTTTGGAGAATGAGAAATATATACGGCCAGTCATAGATTATTTCTTAAAATTCGGTTACTGTCCAGTCATATGCTGATATTGCCCTACCCTTTCAAACAATTTGTTTGGAGGTTCTGGGAGCTAGCAAGACTCCACAAGACCATTTTTTTACTCTCTCAAGGTCATCATTAACTATTAGCTGCCGAGACACAATTTTCTTACATGGGCTGGATGATTAATTTTATTCTAGATTACCGCTGTGGAGGGGACGACCTCTGGAGTGAGGTGTACACCTTCAAGACTCTCAGGAGTGGGGAGGATTGGAGCCCGCGCATAGCTTTGTACGGAGATATGGGAACAGACGGACAGTCACTTTCATTGCTTACATCCGAAGCTTTAAATGGAAACTTTGATGTTATATTGCATGTTGGTGAGCATATTTTTATACTTTTTGCGCCATTGGGTTATTCGAGTGTAATTTTAAACGAGTAAAAAGAGTGATTTAATGTATTTTCACAAATCAAAACTAAACTTGATTAGTCATAAACTTCATCATCGTCATTATCGTCGTTATCACTGTCATGAGCTAAGAATTATCCTTAAACAAGAAAATCTCTCGGAGTATGTTGTCACAACAATAAGATCCGAGATAAAACCTCAGATAATAAATTTTTAGAAGCGTAGGAGAGAATGAGAATGGACGAAATGTTGATCACAGGCTGTCCCACTAAACGAGAGGGAAAAACGCAGGAAAATGATGCGTAAATATTTTGCATGGTTTCTCTTGCACCGAGAATAAAACCTTATACCTCGTTTAGTTACACATCCCTCTTGACCAATTACACAAGCCATAACACACAATGGATTAATACAGGTATTTTTTATCAGGAGGAATTACTTAGTATTCGTATACTGTTGTTGTTCTTCAACATAGGTGATTTTGCTTATAACATGGACTCGGTAAGTATCTAAATGTGAATACTGCAAAAGACGTAGAGTGAAAATGATGACTTTGTAAATAGGATCTGCGAAAGATATGATCAACCCCAGAGATTGATATTTACAGGCTATAGTAATGGCTCTGCGACTCGTTGGCTAATGAAAACACAAGAAAAAAGAGAACAGCCGGTGTCTGGCCAATCAGATGTCAGGACTGAAACTCAAGACGGCTGATTGATTCAGTCACAAAAATCAGATCACGTGGTCTTTTATTCCGGCTCTCTCATTGGCTATTCATCAGACGATACACGTATGCACCACCCACAAAAAGAAATGCAAGAACTCCCAAGGCTAATCAAAATTAGCAGAACACCTAGTCTGTTTTCACTTTTTGTACTTCTATTAGTTTCTGGTCTGAGTCTGATTTTCTGGTTAATTATTTGAATGACATTGACTTTATTTCTAGGACAATGCACGGATTGGTGACAAATTCATGAATCAAATTCAACCTATTGCAGCCCGAATTCCGTACATGACGTGTCCCGGAAACCATGAAACTGCCTAGTAAGTCATGTGGCGTGCGAGCTGCCTCCAGTCCAGCTGGATAATGTATTGATATTGTAAGGAGAAAGTACGTGTTAACAATCTCGTTCCTAGAGCGAGAGAGGAAAGTAAAAAGCCCTGAGAACGAAGTTGAAGACAGATGTTTCCAATTTGTGCTTTTCTTTTCCATCTTTGACCACTTTTGACCTTGTTTGATCAAGAGATTTTATAATCTCTTGGTGTGATCAAGAATTATAATCTCTTGGTTCGGTATGTTTCTACTTTGGCGATGTTTAATAAACTCAAAGACTATAATTTGACGCATCTCCTTAAGACAAAGGTTACGTTACAAAATTAAAACAAGTAACGGAATTAAATTGTGAAAGACTCTTACATGTATCTGTACACTCATTCCTCCTTACTGTGTCTTTGTCCTTTTCTTTCAGCAATTTTTCAAACTACAAAAACAGGTTTTCCATGCCGTCTGATGACATGTTTTACAGGTACGGTTAAGGGTCGAGTTCAAATTTTACTCAGCTTGTCTATATATGTGATTTTTTTCCTTTTTTTTTTGTAGCTGGAACATTGGTCCAGCTCATATAATAAGTATTTCCACGGAATTCTACTTCTTTTACCGCGAGTATGGATCTGAACAGATCGCAAATCAGTACAAGTGGTTAGAGGCTGATCTCAAGGTGAAAATTGTTTTTTTTAGAGTGTTTTAAAACGTGAAGGATCTTCGACATGTTTGTCGTACGTCACATAATATGACTTGCATTCTTCCCTTCCACTAGTCTTCGACTGCCAAGAATCAATCTGTTTATGATCGTTCCCACCAAATTCAGAAAAAATGATAATATAAATAATCATGATGATATAATACTAAATATTAATGATAATGATACCAATACATTTTATCCTAGCGATAATATGATACTAAATAATGATAATAATAATGATGATGATGGTAATAATAATAATTAATTGATAAGCATCCAGGAAACTACCACATTCTAATTCGACACTGAAACCCCGTCTTCTTATGAGAACGGAGACAGACACATGTTTTAAAACCTTAAGTTTGTAATTGATTTAACAGGAAGCAACAAAGAAAAGTAATCGAGCCAAACGTCCGTGGATTATTACGATGGGTCACAGGCCTATGTATTGTTCAAATGCTGATGGTGATGACTGCACTCAGAACGAAAGCAAGGTAAGTTTTTTTTAGTTCAGAGAGCTGATGTAACACCGGAAAGAGAACTCTTAGATGTTAGCAAGTACTCTTATCCCGCTTAACTCGGAGTTTTTGTTTAATTTGTTCATATGCTTCCTGTAATTTTCGCAATATAACGTGAATTTGCATGCATTATTTTTTAACCTGAATTCCTGGACCAGACTTTGTTAGTAGTGTAAATTTCTACTCTCGGTGTTATCAATTTAGCAGCATTTATAATTTGGTGTAGCTACACAACATTCATTGCGTTCAGTTGTTGCAAGTTTTTGCCACCTTGCACAAAAGGATCACTTTTGGAGCACATATGGAAGAAATTCGAGCAACCTCTCGCCTTCCATGTATGCAACTTTTCCTACCATACTCCAACTGTTTGGAGTTGCAGTCTTCGATTGCAAAGCTGGCAGAAACACAAATTTAAACAAAATATGTAATAAAACTTGTTTAAACGGTAAATCATATTTTTCTATCAACACTGAATTACTATTAATATGATGTATTTTTTCCAAGGTTCGCACTGGTCTAAATTCAAAATATGGACTGGAGGATCTTTTCTATAAGTACGGTGGGTAAATTTTATTTTCTCACCAATAGAAAAAGACGCCTGATTCGTTCTCGTTATGTGGAAACATAAAAAATGTTATTATCTCGTTAAACTTCAGGTGTTGATCTAATGGTGTGGGCTCATGAACATTCTTACGAAAGACTTTATCCTGTTTACAACCGAAAGGTAAATTTCCATTTTGCCGTTTGTTTGTTTGTTTGTTTAGTTCAAGATCACAGATGACGTGAATTGTGGTTCGAGGAAAAGTGGCAAACAAGTCGCTGGCGAGAGAGTCACCGATTTTTTTCACGTTATTTGAGCATCTTCTGTGATCCGGAACTCAACAGACACATAACAAAGTTATTCTTGGGTAATTTTTATTGTATTACCGCTGCACATCCACCCTGAGCGAATATAAAAAAGGGTTTAATTAAGTTATATAAAATGAGTTGATTACGTAAATTGCCCACCGTAAAGAGTTTAAAAGCTGGCGTTTCGAGCGTTAGCCCTTCGTCCATCGCTTTGACGAAGCGCTAACGCTCTAAACTTCAGCTATTAAACTGTTCACAGTGGCCAATCTGCGATATCAACTCAGTTGATATTACCAAATTATCTTGTTATACTCTCCCACCGACGCAGCACCACAGTTTCTTTAGTAACTTACCCTCGAAAATAAAATGATAAAATGGCCAACCTCTTAGTATTGTTTTATTTTCTGCTATCCATCTCTCGTTCTTAATCGATAAATATTTTTTCGTTGTAGCTTTGCCGGAGTCCTTTCGAAAATGCGTACATCAACCCATGCGCCCCCGTTCACATTATCACAGGATCAGCGGTATGGCACTTGCAAGAATTCATGCTAAATTTGCATTTTAGCATAAAATGAAAAATGAAAGTTCGTTTTAATTGTTCTCCTCTTTATCAAATTCTATATCTGATAAAAGTAAGTATTCTAACAGATGAAAACAGTGTTCTCATTCCCTGAGCAACAATATTATTTCCACGCTCCCAAATCTTTAGGCGCTCTGTTTTATTTAAAGACCCAGTGTTGAGAGACGCAGATAGTTCATATAACGAGAATTGCCACTATGATTATTGAGTATAGGCCTCACCTCATCCTCACGGGCTTGCGTTTCGTTGGCGAAGGGCGGGAAACTAGGGCCGTGGTGCATGGTGGTAACACCAAACGCACTGCCTTGATGACCGCCTCAACCAATGAGGGAAAAGGGTCTTTGAGGGAAAGTTAATGAGATTGCGTGTCTGAAGATGAGCTCTATCTTTGAATACGAAAAGACTATTTTACAGAAAATACTATGCATTGTCAAATCACCCTAAAAATCGGGAGTGAAGCCAAACATATGGCAAGAAGTAACTAACAGTCTCGATGAACATACAATCTAAATTCAAATAAATTTACAAACGAGTTACATCCGCAGGGATGCAAAGAACACCACGATGCTTTTAAGCCAAAGTATGGTCCATGGACAGCATATCGGGCCTTGGATTACGGCTACACAAGAATGAAAATTCACAACAAAACGCATCTGTATATGGAGCAAGTCAGTGTTGATAAGGTGAGCCTGTGGGCGTACTCTTTGGTTGCGGTCAACGGTCGAAGGTCGAAGTGCATGCTATGTTGCATACAAGATGGGCTTACTTAAAATAATATGCTGTCTTGCCCTTACCACTCCTCGTTTAAATTGCTGATGATACGCTTCACTGCTGTTCTGCAATGCCACTGACAAGCTAGGATTAGGGTGCATTGCAAACAATTCTCCACATCACCAATTCACGTTAGCAACTTAGTTGTTAGGAGGAGCACAATTTTGTTGTGTTTCCTTTGCCTTATTATCGGTTTTAGATGATCCAACTTTATAAACTGTGTCCACAACGAAAGAATAACATTCTTGGTTAAATTTTTTTCCTCGTGCTTTTTTCTCTTAACAGGGAGGAAAAATCATCGATAATGTGTGGATTACAAAACACCACCATGGACCGGGTGCCTGGATAATACCCATGAAATAACCATAATTAAAAGTCGTGTCTGACATGTGAAAGGGAAGAATGGGCAATTTTGTGCATTGTACCTGACTTTGTTTTTCCAAAACGTTGCCTTAACCTCGCTTCTCGCTGGCGATCGATAATTTGCAGGTTTTTTATTTTTGAGAAAATGTGAGTTATGGACAAAAAAACGTTTCTATTTAATTAAACAGTTCTTTTTTATTCTCTGGTTTTATATTATTTTTATTTATATTATTTTGATTTGTTTTAAATCATAGTACTATTTTGCACTTTTAGAAGAGCTCGAATATAGAAAGACGATTCGAATGAGCGATAAACATCAGCTGTTAGCTCGGATTTTCTCGACTTCACATTTCCAAAAAGCATGTTTCATTGGCTGAATAATACGTAAAAGTAAGGTCACCGTAGTAATCGAATTGAATCAAAAACTATCCGTGTTCTTAAAAAAACAAAAACAAAAACAAAACAAAGGAAGTTTTTCTTATGCTTTTCGGTAATTCATTTTTGGGTATTCACCAAATAAGTGGAGCTCATTGTATACAGAGTTCAAGTTCAAATAAAAACAGGTCGCTAGAAAGGCACATGTTCACCATTAAGCTACCACCACTCCCTCCGATCCCTATTGGCAAAGTATGTTGTGGCAGTCAAAAAATCAGCCAAAAAAGTGATGTTGGCGCGTTGCTTAGAACTTTGGGAGTGATGCTACCTTTCGTGCACCTCACTTCTTTAGTACTATCAATTTTTTTTATTTTTTTTTTTCTACGTATGCCACTGACTTCGCTGAAAAGGAGGGACTGCTCGTAATCTTGTTCACCATATATCGTTCGTTATGTCATACAATTTTAACCGATTTATTGACATGGATGTTTCGCGTCACCAAGATATGAACACTTCACAACTCGTCCAACAGGCTCGTGTATATTTCACACGCAAAATTAACTTTCAGTTTTATTTGTGCTAATGTAAAAAATTAAAAATCATTTTAAGTGATGTACTTTTAAGACCTACCTGAATAAGGTAAATTACAGCTTTCTGTCTGTGCATTATGATACTGAAATAAATTTTTTTTGTTTTGTTTTATTTTTATTAAATTTTTATCAGGTCAAAGTTAGTTGACCGCTAGAATCTAAAGTTACAAAATTTGTTCGAAAGTTGAAAAAAAACCCTACTAATCATAGCACACATAGCATTAGATGCTGACGGTAACATGCTGCATGATTTACAATGCAGTCCCTACAATGAATGACATTCACAATTTATGTCTAAGGTGGTCCTAAAACTTATGGCCTCGTCTGCTTCATAAGCACAATGGTACGAGTCCGACACTTAACCGAGATTACACTGCCACAACATATAATAAATTAAACTGGTTCTTCCATAACCAGCTGCTACAAATAAATTATAACTATCCTTTCTCATTGAACGCCCCTATTCACAGATTCTAATAGCTTAAACATCGGGTTTTTTCAAAACAGAGTCCGTGTGTGCAATTTTCATTGTGATCAAGAGAGGATAGAGATAAGATACGCTAAGAAATTACCCAGGGTTCTCTAAAGAGTGTTTCAATACAGGCATATTCATACAAATAAGAAAAACCAACATTTAATCATTCCTGGATAGGGTGCAAGATTCCGACAGGCGATGTAGTGAATATCGCCGTTTTCCTCAGCTTTCAATTCTTCACATCCTTCTTAACCCAGGCCTCTGGTCCATGAACATCCTTTATCAGCATTATTTCGTCAACAACCTCTCCTCCCTGATCAAAGTAAACAGAAAATGTAATTCCAAAGTTATTTCACTGTCATGCACAAGATTAGAAATCCCCATCTCTTCAGCAAAAACAACTACGATAATCCCAAGATAAAATGGCAAGGAAACAAGAAACACATTTCGATAAATGCCTCGTACAAAGGGGAGAGAAGAGAAAATCTCTTCTCTAGTTCAGTTTGTAGAACACTGGACCTGAAAAAGGAACTGGCTGTGGTTCGATTCCACACCGGAGAACACAGAACCCCTTTGCCCCACGTTCGTGACAAATGTTACAACATTTATTTATCATTTTCAATCGGCAAAGTAAGAACATAAGACCTTAGAAAACTTATCTTCATTACCATAATGTAACCGGTAACGGACAATTCGAGACTAGTGTACCATATAGGTAGCGGGAATCCCCCTACGCTATGAGAAAAATCCCAAAGAAGAAATCCCTTGAGTTTCCTCTTTCCATGCACCTACCAGATCGACGTCAACTTGCTGTATGCCAATGTGCGTCTTATTGAAGATTGTCATCTGCGAAAAACCATAATTCAAAGTGCGGAAAGCCGTCCAGTATGGTTTCTCCTTCTTGAAGGGGTCATGCTTCGAATAACATCCCTGGAAAAAAATACGCCAAGTTACATAAAAGCATCCTTCTAAACAAACATTTTGAGCGCTTTTAGGCACAGTTAGATATCTGTTGCGACTTCTAAGTCATGAACCGTATCGATACACTACAGATATTAAGTCATATGTACGTCACCAGTGTGCAGTAAATCGCGTCTCTTTTATTAGAAGATCAATCTCGATTCTCAAGACCCACCCACCCCCCCTCTCCAAAGAGGATCCCGTCTCTGCCCCTGAAGGATCTCGTTTCTCGCGTGAACTATCTCGAGAAGAGCTTCGTTTCTCCCGACGAGTTTTGCAACTACTCCAAAGTCTTGTCTCCATTGAAAGTGTCTCGTTCCTATTAGAAAGCGACTCCTTCCAACTGTTAAGTGTCTCTCGACAAAGAACACGAGAGGTACCGATAGAAACCGCTCCGAAGCAATGCAATGTGCTTGTTCAGCATTAATGACTGGTTGCCTTTGTATCTTTGGGGTTGAACTACGATGTGCCAGTATATTTGACGTCTGGTTGGCATACTGACTTAAACACCATATTTGCTCTATTTTGCTACTTTTGAGGCCGATTAAACTACTAATCTGCAGAAATAAAAACCCACACAAAATTTCATGCAACATGATAGTCTGTGAATTCATTAGCAAGCATCAATACTGATAGCTGACATACCGCTGAACCAGTGACGATATGAACGGGGGCACAGGGATTGGTGTATGGCTCCTCCAAAGACCCATTGCAAACCTAGAAAGAGACAGACAAAGAATTTAGTGTTTAAGTGTTTTAATATGCGGAGTTCATTTAAGGAGAAACTGAAATGTCAGGAGGAGTCTTACCTGCATGTCATAAATAGGCCACAGTCGTTCATAAGAGTGCTCATGAGCTTCAAACATCATGTCTACACCTGAAATACCAGCAGTAAAATATAACTGATCAGAAGTGCCGGTCAGCCACTGATGCGTTCAATGTAATCTCCGTTTTGAAAGGCTGTACGATTTAGTATGATAATTTGGGCGGGGTTTTGCGCGAGAGGGGGCATAACTTAAGGGAGAAGGGGTGGGGGGGGTAGTCTGTATTTTGGAAGACAGAGGCTTTTCAACTTCAAAAGAGAGAAGTGCACCTGAGACAAACACGTAACCATTTGAACAATTTACTTTTTACTCCAAAATTTGACATTCTCCTTTTTGAGCTGGGAAAATTATCCGGTATAAAGAAAGCCAAGGCGATGAGTGCAGCATAACCAGAATTGGAGGATCACATGAAAATGTAACCTGCGTAGCAGGCGTTGTGTGTGACTTTAAATGCGTTGGGTGGCAAGGCCCCTAAAAGGAAGGCTTGGGAAAGAAAATTGTGGGAGAAAGTTAAGTTGGCCATGAACGCAGGTCAAGGGTCACGGGTGGCAGGTCAGGGCTAACAGGTTGTGGGTAAAAGGTCTTGCTTAACATCGTTGACATCTAACAGTAGCCAGTGACCCGTGACGTGCGACCTGCCACCTGTGACCCGTGAACTACGTTTAAGATCCGCCAGAGAAATTTCGTTGCTCTTTCTCGCAGCTCCACCTCCTTTAAAATCATCGAGCTACCGTAACAGATCTTCAGCCTTACCTTCTTAGGGTATCAAGGGTGGGGATTAAAGGCAACCTATCGCTCTTGCCTTTGTTTTCTTGATCCAAGCGCTGTATGTATAATTAAGTATGGGCTGTAGGGAAATCTTACTCAAATTATAACATCCAGCAAATCTTGACACTTTTCATATACTAGTACCTAAATCCCTATAAGACATTTAAGTTTGGCAGCTGAAATTGCTTGCAAAGTACTCAACATGGTACAAATACCATCAAATACAGAATAAAATCAAGATCTTCATACCATATTTGTAAAACAATTCTTCCAAAGGCCACAGATGCTTAGAGGTTATTCCAGTGCGAATCTACAACAGCATCACATTCAGCAAAAACTTAGAGAATAAATATGCTACATTACAATTAAACTGAAAGTGATTTTCATGTTATGCACAAAAGCAAATACATTGTAAACCTATTGAGTCTTTTCTGATGAATATTTTTATCCATACTTAGGTGATATGATTTCCTTTTGTAGCTGAGCATTAGCAGCACTACTCGAATAAAACTAGACAACTCCCAAATCACAGAAAATCTGCAGTCTTATTTATCAGAACATGAAATCCATGCATGCATAGGAGCAAGACATCATAACCCTTAGAACACAAAAAACAATGACTCCTGTTTGCACCCAATTGTTCTTACTTAGATCACCTACAGCCAAGATCAATAGTGTGAGTAATATCCTCATTTTTCCATGCTCCTCCTATCACATGTTATTCACCTTTTTGTGCCCACCTTAAGCTTGCCTCCTTTATTGTGTAAATGCAAGAATGGCACTTGTCCTGCAGGCTATATTTCAAAGAGCCTGCCCTTTGTAATTCTCCAAGCACTTGGGGTGACTGGGTTTTCCCCCCTTACTCTCATCCCAAGGACAAAAAGAGGACAGGAAATAAAGAAATAAAGCTATCTTACTATGCTGTTGGCTTTAGTACAGTCATCACTATCATCATTACTGCAGTACATTGGTTTGTGAGCCATGGTGATGATCCAGGGACGTTTACTGCGGTTTTCTGGAAGTGTTGCCTCCTGTGAAACATCCATTGGAATAATGAATTATACTTAAATCAATTGATTTAATGATTAAAACTAGGAGGTGTCTCACTTGCCTACGACTGCAGCACAATGTGAAGTTTGTTTCAAAATTAATTTTCTTTTTTCATTAAAACTTATTTACCTGGAGGTCTCTGATCAACCACTCATACTGCTGAACAATCTGCTCAATTCCAAACTCCAACCAGAAGTAGACTTCTGTAGAGTAACTGATAATATGTGCAGGACCAATGTTCCAACTATGTGACAAAAATAGACAAAAATGAATGACAGTTGGGGTCAAACACAAGAGAAACAGGCTTATGTAAATACTGAGGCAATTTAGTTTATTAATGCATGCCAAAAAATGATCCTTGGTGAATTTGGGTTTTACTGCTACTGAAAAAGCTTAGACAGAGTATACATAATTTTAGCTCAATAGTTAAATTGCAGAAAGGTTATCTTTCTGGTTCTTTCAAGAACTGCTGCTCTAGCTGAGTGCCATAAGAATGTCAAATCTTCAGCCCTTAACATGTTCCTAGAACAGGCTAGACTTAGGCTCAGATCCTAGTATATAAGACTACATCAAATAGCATAACTTTTGAAGGATCAAAAATTAATGTGTTCCTTGTTAATGAACACGCTATGGTGAACCAGAAAATAAACCAAACTTTCCAGGCACTAATTCAAATTATTTTCAGTGACTTTGGTATTGGATCAACTAATAATAATCCCTACACCCCATACATCCAGATATCATCCTCCACTCTGTCTTCTATACATTGTTGTTGATCTGGCTCTTAGAAATTTATCTCAATTTAAAACAAAACACTCTAGTTGATATTTAATTTTTCTTTAACATGTCACCATTCTTCCATAAATCTTTTAGTGCTGTAACAAGAACTAACTTATTGATCACTCCTGGGATTGAAACGATTTGCGTTAATTTTGCTACATGTATAACTCATACCTGTAAAAAACCCCTTGGGTATTTCCTGGCATTGAGAACCTGTTTTTGTAGTGGGAAAAGTTGCTGTGGAATAAGATCAGAATATATCTAAGTTTTGGGCTTGCACTAGAACTCAGATAATAGGTTTTTCAGTGCTAGCATATATGCACTAAAGATTGTTGAGTTAATTTCCTTCTATTAACCTTTTGAAGCTGCAATGTACTAACACACTCTGTGGAAACACAAAAGAAAAACTTACTAGTAACGCTCATGATTTCCTGGACATGTCATGTAGGGAACATAGGCAGCAATTGTCTGAATTTCATTCATAAAGTCATCTCCATTTCGTCCTTCATCCTGTTGGCAAAGAAGCCAAGGAAAAAAGGAGCGATTAAGTTAGAGAGGATCTAGAGAAAGAACACAAAAGTCCCTCACTTGGGAAGTTTAAATTGACACTGCTGATCCTAACAATATGTAAGACTAATGTCTGACATGGTCCAACTTGATAACTAAAGCTCCTTACAACTTGGTTGGTTAGGAGCATCAAACTGTGAAAACAGAACTTGCTGATGTTTGAATCCATGCAGAAGATTAGTTTTAATTCAATTTGTGTCACAGCTAAAACATGTTGCACATGCACTAAGCTTAATTTATTCCACAACTAAGGTCAAAATGTACCTTACTTTACATCTCGTACTTTAAATTTACCTTGGAGACATTTGCTTTACAATATAATGCCTCTCTTTCTTCCGACCCACTTACACTTTCTAAATTTGGAACAGTCTTCCTCATGAAATAAAGGTCTTCATGCTTCTCACTGAGCTCATTTATAAGCCAAATTGGGAAAACAAACTCCCTAAGCTAGGTTTGTTTTGCATCCATTGCAAAATAACTTTGCAGTCATAAATATGTGTAGAAAATTTTATTATTTACATGGCATTTTATATTTGTTTCTTTTTTGTTGATTATTAACTTGTCATATCATGTGCTACCTTCATTAAAAAAGATTGTTATCATTTTTATTATCTTAACCCTTTCACTCCCAAGATCTAATTAGTAATTCTCCTTACTATCTGCCAAACAATTCTTATGATGTTAGTTCAGAGAATTTGGTATTGGATCAACTAATAATCCCATGATTGATATTCTTCTCCATTCTCATCACCTGCCTGCTTGATATTGTATTGATATTGTAAGGAGAAATTCTGTCTGGGTCACTCGTGGGAGTAAAAGGGTTAACCATAGCATACTCATAAATTTGCCCCTTTTTTGTTAGCACTGTACTTCAAATCAAAGTAATTATCCAAAGGCAGTATCTGAGAATATTGATATTAGGTATTCTACACCAAAAAGCTAACAGATTAGAAACATAACTGCTGATGGAATCATTGTAGACTGAATACAGACTAACCTCAAACAGATCATAAGCAAAGTCACCTGGGAAAGAACATAATTGAAAATATGAGCTCTTAAAATTTCACCTTGTTTTACCGTAAACGCAAGTAAACAATCAGATAATTTTCATTTATAAAATTATAATCCTACAATTAAATTTACCAGTAACAAGTTAACAAGTGCAAATTGATTCTATAGATTCAGATTTTTCCCAAAGGTTCATTCAAACTTGTGGAATGCCAAGCACATTAGAAGTTAATAATTCCCATTCCTGCATATAATCTTATGAAACAAAATGACATCCACAATATCTTGGCTGCCTCCTATTTCTTCCTTTACTTCTACCTTCAAACTTATTGACCTGACCTTTCCAATGAGAGTAAATACAAAGATCTTGGTTGTGAAAGGCATGATAGTCATTTATGACTCACCCACATGAAGGATGGCATCATATCTTCCATTTTGAGCATCTTCCTGCAAATAGCTGATAGATTTAGCATTTACAGTTCCCATATCTCCATAAAAGGCAATCCTTGGACTCCAGTCCTCACCAGACTTCATAGCATTGAAAGCAAAAAGTGAACTCCAACCATCATATCCTCCACAATGATATTCTGCAAATTAATTGACCAGGGGATTATAAAAACTGTTGACCTGTGTCAGTGGGAAAATCTAACACTAAGGGATTTGTTAACAACTGTAGAGAAGCACCTGCTCAGAAACACTCTGCACTGACAGCTATTTTGCATTTCCTTAACATTATGGTAAATGGAAAATAAATGCAACAGCAACTTCAATATGAAATCAATATTTAGTGTAATTGACCCACAAACTGGCACTATAAGCATGGGTATACATCTGGAGTGCATAGAAATTTCTTGCAAAATTCAGTTTTCTATAAAATCTTTCTTCTTCCTAAACTACAAACTTTGTTAGAGAGCCTGATGAGACAAGGCATATTTACAATTTCCTCTTTGTAGTGACACAACTGGAAATCAAGCTTAAAAGCAACAAAGCTTTTTTTAAAAACAACTGAGGTCACCTACCATATCTCTGACCAGGAACCAGTCCAGTCAGCTTCACCCTGTGTATGTACCTTATTACTTTTCCTGACTGTGGGTCAGTGAATTTTGTGTTGCTACCAGATTCCCGCAATGTAAGAGGAAAACCGGCTTTGTTGTATTCCACAATAGTGTAGTTTGTGGCAGCCATTGTTGTCCATGTGATCATCATCTCTGTAGGATCCCCTGAGAGTAAAATAAAAATTCACTATAACCTGTGGTTACAATTTGAAGTTTCATCTTTTATAACTCACAATAACTTAGCATGATTCAGGGTTTGTGCCTAGTTGATGGTCTACCTGGATGGACAACCCAAAAGGACTACCCTTGAATGGACCAACCTTTTGAGTCTTTAGTATTTCACTAACCACAACAAGTACAACAAAAATGAGTTGATTATTTTAAACATTTAAAGTCCTTCCTATGGAAAACGGCTCAAAGTCACCAGTTACTTTCTCAGTATTGGTCATAAAGTAAGGTGATAAATAAAAATATTCACTGTTTTGTGCTTAAGTATATAGATTTATGCAATATTTGCCGTGTACATAAGAGATTCTTCACGGTCAGCCATCTTTAGATTCAATGATAAATTTAGTTTAAAGCAGCAAGGTGATCAAAGCAAAACACACCAACACGGCAGCTTGTATGACCATATTGCTATAAATAAGAGTTAACCTGCTTACAAGTATAAACAAGTTGAAGCTCAAAGCAGAAGCAGTACAGTATAGCATTGGAGTGGAGACAAAAGGTAACCCTTTAACTCCCAGAAGTGATTAACCGTTAATGTAAATTCTCCAGTGATATGCATATATTATTCAGCAAACAGGAAATGCGAATACTCAAACTTATCAGGTAGAGGCTGTTATCTTGATCTAACGCCAGATCAAAATAGGAATCGCAGATTACAGATTTCTATTTGCAAATCATTAGCACATTTCCATTTCGAAAGTAACATATTTTCATTTCGTTTCGTTTCGTTTCGTCTCGCATGTTACAGTACGCCTTTTTGACGCACTATGCAGTATCAGGAAAAAATATATTATTGATAGGCAATGGTTTGAGTATTAACAGGATCAGCGTTCGGTAATTATACAAATGCTGAATACAGGACGCTTTATTCAGGTTTTCATAAACTCCTATGGCCTTAAATCCCAGCCGAAACGAAACGGGTAAGTAACGAAATAAGGAAGTTATAAGATGGCGTCAAGCTAAGACAACTCAACAAACAGCTTTAGGGAGAGCCGAGAAAATGGTTTCCGTAAAACCCCATACTATCCAAAACGAATTTGCTCTGTTGACCAAAAGGCAGAGTATATTTTCCTCAAATGTGCAAATATTGCTCGCGCAAACAAACTTTCGTTTATATCAGTTACATGATTCCCAAAGGTCGAATACTAACCAAAGTCAAGAACATACACAAGCGCCCCTTCTAGCTTAATTTAAACACTAAGAAGATTTCACTTCGCCTACCTGTGGCTGAAATGTGAATCTGTTCAGGCTGAGGAGCCTGCCCATGAGAGCAGTGAAGGAAAATTAGCAAAACGAGTGGAACCATATTCATTTTGCCGACTGTAGCATGGAGGAGAATATAGGAAATTACCCGCAGATTATACTCAAGTGGTCTGGGTACAAGTCACGAGATTATCATAAGTTTGAGCAGAAGCGCACAAGAGGGGACCCCTTTGCTCACAAGTTGGAGCAGTCAGGCGGGGGAGAGGGTGCTAGTCTGATTCATACCCAATCTCACAAACGACGGCTTTTAGTGGCGGTTGAAGGTCTGAGTTTCAGTCACGCAACGAAACAGTTTGATAATCGATAGTCGTTCCAAAGTAATAAAAGATATGGCTGAAAAAATAGTACTAATTAGCGGTTGTTCCTCGGGAATAGGATTGTCTACAGCTATTTTGCTAGCCAGTGATCAATGTAAGCGTTTCAAAGTTTATGCAACGATGCGAAATCTTGAGAAAAAGAAAGAGCTGGAGGAACGGGGAAAACATATCCTTGGAGACACACTCTTCATTAGGGCCATGGATGTGTGTTCGGATGATTCCGTTAACGCGATTGTCCAAGAGCTGGTATCTGCACATCAGCGAATTGATGTCGTTAGTAAGTTTTCTTTAAATTCTTCATGCATTTACTACATGTCTGTGTGAAAATATATGAGTCTCAATGGGGTCAACCGATAGCCGTTAAACAGCCAAATAATTTAGCCGTTAGGCGTAAAAAGTTGACAAATTTTAACCAGTAGCCGCAAAAAAATTAACCGTAAATAAAATTTCTGGTGAGAAAAATGGAATTATATTACCGTTAGCTGTGAAATGGCCAAAATTAAAAAAAAAAATTTAAAAGCCTAGTACCCCATGTAGACCTTAAATATGCAAATATGCGATTGTTATGCAAAACGGCTTCAGTTACACTTTTGACCAACAACTTTGAAGAGGGAGGGGGGGAAGGGGTTATTGCATGATACGGGATTAAGTGTATTTGCTTTTCTTGACCAGTAAAAATAAGAAATTAAAACCCTATGAAATCTAATTTTTTCGCTTTTCGCGATACGTGAACGTTAAAGTTGTCTATCCGTTTTTTCACGATGTGTTATTTCTACTTTGATGTGCGTGAGACCTGCGCAGGACCCCCCCTTTCATTATCCCCCTCTTTCCACAAAACATTCTTTCGTTTAATCAAAACTATAACAAAATTCTCGAACGTGATTGGTTATCACTAGCCCGAGTTGAGCACAAGCGACAAAGTCGTAGTCTTCGTCGTTTACGACGTAAAATTCCGAAGCGTAACAGAAGCACAGCTAACTTCCCAGCGAGGGCCACTCGCGGGCACAACCTTGCTGCGCTATAGAATGGTCTGACTGTTTCAATTAGATGATTTAGTCGTATTTAATCGATCCCCATCATTATTAAAAAATGTTTTGAGAGAAAATCTTGTAGTTATTTTCATCTCTCTCGAAGACACCAGCGCTCTCGCGCACCTCCACATATACTCTAAGGAGTTTGGACGCTAGCCTCTTTTTTCGTAAATGGATTTTTTACACCCATTACCGAATGAATTTACTTTTATATCCTTGCAGTAAACAATGCAGGAGTTGGCTATTTTGGTCCACTGGAGGTACAAAGCATGGATTCGGTAAGGAGCATATTCGAGACCAATTTTTTTGGAGTGTTGCGTCTTACCAGAGCTGCACTTCCATGTATGAAGTCCAACAAGGAGGGTCACATCATTTGTGTATCGAGTATGGGAGGTATCAATGGAGTACCCTTCAATGGCGTTTATTGTGCCTCAAAGTTCGCTGTAGAAGGTCTGTGTGAATCATTGGCTCCATTGCTCAAGACCTTTAATGTGAGGTAGGCAAGTGTCAGTGCACTTAAAAAAATAGTGTTTGGTAAACAATTCTTCAACGAAGTGGAAGTGGCTTGTGGTAGCTATTTTCACTGCCGCAAATAAGTGAGGTAAACATTAGTCACTGACACTAAGATAAATAGTTGCTTTAGTATAGACTACAACAGTAAGATAATATAAAAAGATTTAGGTTGTGTCACAACAAAATTTACCTGATCCCCTCATAGGGCTTTGTGATATTCTTATGATTCCCCCCCCCCTCTCATCAGCAGTCAGTTTTCTACAGATCCACCTTCAAACTATGTTGGCGACGACTGACTCCCTCCCTCTCTGTTCCCCATGTGATCCCAAAAATCATCCACCCTCCAGTCATCTTTCTGAATTCAAGTAAACAATGATCAAGAATTCCTTGAAAAGTGCTCTAGCCAAGGAGAACTTACTTATGGGGGAACAGGGGGGTCACAGCCTCCCACCTCCCACACCACATTCTCCTGCCTCCCATACTTTTATGGCCCCCTCCCTCCCGACTCCTGCCCTTCATGCTAAAACGGATCAGAAACCTGGAATTTTGGCAAGCGTTGCCTTGGCTGGGTGCTCGTGACTGAAGGGCACTGAACATGTAATATGGCCCAATGGTTTTGAAAGCTGGCAAATAAATTGCTCTTCTGTCAATATAAACTTTAAAAGTTTATGATCCGTACTTAAAGTTACAGGCTGATTTTTTTTCCCCTTTATGAAAAAACAAGAATTTGTAACTTGAAGTATGGATCTTGAATCTCTTTTTTACACAATTGAAATTTATAGGCACCAGTGAATTTTTTCAAAGACAGCAAAATTGCAAAAGCCTGTAGAGCAAGTGCAATATGTAGTCTTTGAAATATTTACAAGTGCTCATCACACTAATTTGCAAGAGAGATCATTTTATTACTTGATGATAATTTACATGAAAAACATCACAGAAAGTCAAGACAAACAAAATATTGAAAGCGTGCATGCATTATTTGTAATTTGCACTTGTGTAACATGAGAATGCACTTGTTTTCAGCCAATCAGAAGGATGTACTTTTTCATAATCATTATTAGAGTACGTTATTCAGACTTAAAATTACCCAAGAGAGATGAGAACATTTGAGATAGAGATCAAGAGATTTTGGTAAAAACATCCCTACCCCAGACTTACTGTAACTATTCAGCACTCAAAGTAATCAAGTTAATTTTTGTAATGTTTGCTCTTTATACCGACAGATGTTCTGTGATTGAACCAGGGCCAGTATCGACATCTTTTGTAGCCAATGCTCAAATGACTGAAAGTGACACTCACCCTGAAGAAGTAGATGATGAAACAAAACAACTTCTCAATAACTGCATTAAAAAGATGCGAGGTGCTTTCTCTACCATGGTTCAAACTCCGGATGAGATTGCCCAAGTGATCCTGGCAGCACTTGATGCTGAAAGGCCACATTTTAGGTATCAAACTAACAAGAACTATGCATCTTCTGCAGCAAACAAGTTGGTGGATATCACAGGTGACAAATCAATGGAAATGATGCACCAGCGTTTCTTCAGTTAGAGTTCATGGAGATGTTTTGCCAGAGTTTAAAGGGTAAACCTTTTGCAAAAAGCTATTGGCATTAACATATAAATTTGACACTTCATTGCACATGCGATTCAGGCTTCCTTAATTTCTTAATAATTTTAAGTAGCTCTGAATAATGTGTGAAGTATACAGTTAAACAAACCAGTTCTCAAACAAGAAATGAGGTCTGAATGAACAGAAGGGAAGAACTCAAAAAACTTATCCACAAGTAACATGAACACGAAAAAAGTTTTATTAATTCAAAGTACAAAATAATATATAAATTGATTATTCATTAAAAGTGATAATTTTTTTTTTAAATTCCTCCATTTCACAAGAAAGTTCAAGGTTGCTCAGTTTTCTTGACACAACATCTATACCTATATATTATAAAGATCATTAAATTTGGAATGTGGACACTAAAGAAATCCTTCTAACCACAGACAATGAACAGAAACTACTATCAAGACTAGTCGTATTTTCAATGGGACTGTGATAAGATTAATGAGTCAGATATAAAACAAGCATGCCCCCATTAACCCTTTCTGCACTAGTATCAGTATGCATATTCTCCATCTATATTCTATACATTTCCTGTGGTACTGACAGTGAAATTTTGATCAACAATCAAAATATTTTTTAGTCAGTTATCATTTCCTAAATTCTCATGATCTTAATGTTGGATTCTAGAATAATAATGTAAGGAGAAATTAGATGCTGGTCTCTCTATGGGGTTAAAGGATTAGGCATCACACACCGTGCATGAATATACAATTACAGTAAAATGTTGTTTTTCCACACCTCATTATTCATAAGTTGATCAGTTCCTCATTAGTTGTCCAAGCTACTTTTGCATTCTGTTCTAATAAACAACAGTGAATTGTTGTTTATTTAAGTAAACACATGCCCTGTACCCTCTTTATATTGCAAAATTATTGTGAAAAAAAGTAATTACAAAAGGAGAGACCATAACTCAGCTTCTCTGCAAAGATTAGTAATATACCAAAAGTAACAAGTTACTGGAAGAGTAAATTTCCAACAAGTGGTTGTAAAGATTTCATCATTTTCCTCAGCTTTCAATTCTTCACATTCTTTCTAGCCCAAGCTTCTGGTCCATGAACATCCTTTATCAGCATTATTTTGTCAACAACTTCCCCACCCTGATTACAATAACAACAAATGCAGAAATCAGTTTAACTTTCACCACAGGATACCAGTAGTTATATAAGCCTTTTTGCAAGAATTTGCCTCTGATTTTCCAGAAAAAAAATTATGAAATTAAGCAACATTACTAAAGAGGAAAAAAGGGTGCAGCAGAAATTAAAAAAAAAAATTAACTGGATGTCACCTGACCATCGAATGAGGAGTTCTCACATTCATTGACCAAATTTTCTCCTTCCAAACTTGCTCTTACGAGGTGCAAATGCCCTAAAGTTTATCCTATCCACTGGACTTACCAGGTCAACATCCACTTGCTGTATGCCTATGTGAGTCTTATTATGGATTGTCATCTGAGTGAAACCATAATTCAGAGTACGGAAAGCTGTCCAAAATGGCTTATCCTTCTTGAAAGGGTCATGCTTCGAAACACATCCCTGTAAGAAATACCATTCTATTGTAAATTAGCAGGAAAAACACAGTGAAACATACCAATGGTGCAAATCTTCACATTTGGGAGACAAGCCAGTTTGATCTATAGATGTGAGGAATAAGGACTTCTGGAAGGTAGGGGCATTTTAACTGTCCCCTCAACCCTTTAAGCCCTCAGAACACTGACAAAGATCTAATTTCTCCTTACAGTGTTACTGCTAAATAGCGTACTATGGTCATGAGAGTGAGAGAAATGATTGCCACCTAAAGAGGCTCTTGACTGTTAAACAAACTCCTCACTAGTTCCACAGGAAATGTATAGAGAGCAGTAAAGAGAGTGAGTGGGCTTATGTTTGGAGGTAGAGGGCTTGAAGAACCCCTGAAGATTATGAACTTCAAGGAACAAGTGTAAACAACACCATGCAATCACTGCCTTTATAAGTTATTACCTGCACTGCATGAAACTTATCATTCATTCAGACATGATCGCCCTTTTAGCATGCCACATTTTAAAACTGACTGTTTTACAAATTATCTCTTCATGTCTCAAAGCAACTAATTTATAGTTCAGGGTTTTCAAATTTTGCAGCTTGTATTATGATAACTTTTTTAGCAGCTTATCTCCTGTTATCTTTTTAATTAAGATAGATTAGTTAATGATTAGATTTGTAAAATTAATTTTTGTTAAGTAAATAAGCAATTCAGTTTTTGAACTGCCATGTATTTATGAATTAATAAACATCCAATTCAACTTCAAGGTAACAGGTCAGGTATTTTCATTGCGATAATCCTTTAGAGATGCTAACCTTTCCTTGGTTGTCTATCATATTAGGCATCTGTATTTTGCTTATGTAAAACAGAGAACTAGTGTTGATAGCAAACATACCGCTGAACCAGTGATTATATGAACTGGGGCGCAAGGGTTGGTGTACGGCTCCTCATGAGATCCATTGCAAACCTGGAAAGGGAAATATAAAGTAAGAGTGTTCAAGAGACATTACCTTTAACATATACACAACAAATTTAAGAGTCAAACACCATAGTGCTTGAAAGTACCAATTTTGCTACCTCCTTAGGGTATTTGATGAATAGCCAGTGACTCATGGTTTAACATTGCCTGCAAGACCCCTTACCTTCCTCTTTTAGCCTGTGTGCAAGCTTTTCTGGTTGCATTTCACCCTATGACCCCCTTCTAGGAACAGCCTCCTATTGAAACTCCAGCGTTTCAGAAATTGCAATGAAAGCAACATCCTGAAAGCAGCATCCATGGAGACTAAGAAACTAACAATTGGGCAAGGAGAAACTACAGCAATGGTTTCAGTTTGATGCAAAATATTTTTTGATGAGCAAAGAAACTTTCAAGTCAAACCAAAACCACCACTGGATTTTGCTCTCCCCTGATTATTCACTCTTCAGTCTCCAAGGATGAGGAAACAGTGACCCTATTCTTTTGTCAAATAGGGCACATTTTAGTTACTCAAGGATAGAGATAACTTTAAATAAGCAACAGAAAAAGAATTCTAGATAGGACAACACAAAAAATCTCTGCTACACAGGCGCAAAGATCAGATGGCACTTTATTTACTCTCAATACTTTTGCAACCAATCCTACGGCTTGTTCCAAGGGATTCAGTTAACCCTTTAACTCCCAGAAGTGATTAACATAAAACTTCTCCCTTCAATATCCATACATTCTTTGGCAAACATGTAATGAGAATATTCAAACTTATCAGGTAGAAGCTGCTATCTTGATCTAGCACCAAGTTCTCATAACTAATTTAAAAGAAAATGTGTGGCAGCTACAGAGGAGAATTGACAATCAGATCTTGGGAGTTGAGGGTTAACAGAACAAATGCAACAGCACTCAGTGCAATGGTAGCACAAGAGTGATCATGAGCTGACCCATATCTCCCTTTCCCGTTCACTTCCCCATCATTATCACAATTCCTTTTATTCACTGCAAACTTTCAGCAGGCTATACTGTTCACAACCTTACCTGCATGTTGTAAATGGGCCACAAACGTTCATAGGAGTGCTCATGGGCTTCCAACATCAAATCCACACCTAGAATGGGGATAGAAATTCTGCATGAATAAATATTTGAATATATTATGTTGTTGGAACACGGCTTAGCACAATTTACTCCAAGTGCAAATTTTTTCCTCTTTGTGTTATCATGATTAATTTTGTCACCAAAAAATAATTACAATGAGAGTTCCAATCAAAGATAAATCTTGTTTCCAATAATGATTTTTTCATACCATATTTGTAAAACAAGTCTTCCAAAGGCCACAAATGCTTAGAGGTTATTCCAGTGCGAATCTAAAAAAAAAAACAAAAAAGATGTGTTAATACAGTACATGCAATCACCAAGAATGCTATTGATATCTAAGCTGCCTTAAAGGGCAACCACAAATATTTTCTTTGACCAAGGCTGTTGTTTTGAGATTGAGGAATTGGCTCTACCACTTTAGAATCAGAAACAGCCTTAAATGTTGTGTTGACGAACTTTATGGACCAATAAAAGGCCCCCTTTTCCCTACTTAAATAAACATACACACTGTAAGTAATCGAGTATCCAAAGGAACAGTAAACAAAAAAAAATTGAAAAGCCAACTCCGGTGCCCATATCTCTGAGTGTGCAAGAGAGACTCTAACTTTACCCACAAAGTTCCCACAAAGAAAAAATGACAGGTTTAAGGATAATCAGTAACCTTACCATGCTGTTAGTTTTTGTGCAATCATTAGGATTATTATTACTGCAGTACATTGGTTTGTGTGCCATGGTGATGATCCAGGGACGTTTACTGCGGTTTTCAGGAAGAGTTGCCTCCTGCAACAAAATACACATTACATGTGAGGCTTGCTCTGATACAGTTTTAATCACACAATACCAAAAAAAAAGCAAAACAAAATAAAAAACTACCAAATAAGATCAAAGGCCTTAGCTGTTACAAATGTATATTATACTAGTGATAATAATTATCATGTAACACTTATAATAATAATATTTAACACTATTAAAATGTAACACTATAATAATAATAATAATAATAATAATAGTATTAATACTATTAATAGGGAACAATGGTTATGACCCCCAACAAATAATGGATAGCATTATCAATGTTCTTCAGAAACACCAGCTATTCATTTCTGGAGTGCTGGAAATTTAAATTAGGCAAAGACCTAAAATAACTGTCCCAATCTGCCATGAATTTTAACCCTTGGCGGGTGGTGTTTTTATAGCTGGATGCTGAAAAATCTTGGGCAAACACTGAACATCACCCATCCTTTGAAGGAACAAATGATGACACAAGAGAAAAAGAGTTTGGGAGAAGTGGAGGAAAGAGGAAGGAATGAATGAATAAAGAAAAAAGGAGAAAAAGAAGGAAAAAAGGGTACAACTGAAAAGGTGGAGAGACAAGAGAAGGCTACGAAGAAATAAATACAGGGGTAATGAAGGTAATATTTACTTACCTCTAGGTCTCTAATAAGCCAGTTATACTGCTGAACGATCTGTTCAATTCCATACTGCAACCAGAAGTAGACTTCTGTAGAATAGCTGATGATGTGTGCAGGACCAATGTTCCAACTGCAAAGTATTCAAGAAATTAGATGTATCATTGAAGATAAAATAAACCAAAAAAAAGAGAGAGACAGCCCATCAAGACCATTGCAATGGTATTTCAACTAAACTTAATTGTATCTATAGAAATGCCTAAATGTTTTTTTCTTGTTTTGTCATGAGCACAAGACAATAAGATAAAAGTTCAGAGTGCCCATGAGAAATCAAGCCACAGACTCTCAGATTCACTACCCTGCAAACTGCTGGGGTCAGCAATGGCAAAGGCTTTGTGTAAATACTTTAAATTAAAAGAATGGTAAATTTTAACCTTGATGATAAAATAAAAAAATCCTCTTTTTTTGGCACAAGTATTACACACATGTAAATGTAACCATACACAAGTACTGTATCCCTTCACATAAAGCTGTTTTTGCGAGTTTCTCATACCTGTAAAATATACCTTCTGTGTTTCCTGGCATTGAAAACCTGTTTCTGTAGTTTGAGAAGTTGCTGCCAAAAAATTACATATTTATGTTTCAGATTGACATACATGTATCAAAGAAACTCTAGTTTCAGCCATAGAATACAATTGTCATTTTAATAATTGTAGCAGAGCTCGTAGAGCGTAGCCCAATAATTATACAAAATAGCAGTAACCCATCAAGCCGAAAAAATTTGGTTGTACAACCGTACAACTGTACGACCGCACAAGGTGCTACTTTTAACATGCATGGTCAACTGTACCACAGGCATGCCAACACCACGGCTTTGTCCAGTTGTCCAGTTGTCAGTGCACTGGGCTCTGAGTTGGACAACCCGGGTTCTAGTCTTAGCTGGGGCAAGGTGTTGTGCCCTTGAGATGTGAGGGAAAAAAACAAAATGTGAGCTCTGACTTTAGGCTTGGCTAAATCTATACATTAGTGGTAAAACTTAGTGATCAAGTCTGAGATTTCCAAACATTACTGAAGAGGAATCAAACCCTCATTACTTTTAACCCTTTACTGTGACCAGCATCTAATTTCTCCTAACAGTAACGCGGCTAATATTCATGAGAATAAGGAAATGATTGCCAACCTAAGAAGCTTTGATCTTCATATAAAATCTCCTTGTCAGTACCAAAAGAGACATACTGGTAACAGTATGGAGAAAATGGATACTGATGTGAGGGTGTAAACGGTTAAGGCAAGAGCATCATCACACCCTTCTCTTTGAAGCCATTCACAAGTCCTCATAATATCATCAAGGAACTTACTATGCTAGTTCATGATTTCCTGGACATGTCATATAGGGAACATAGGCAGCAATTGTCTGAATTTGATTCATGAAGTCATCTCCAACCATTCCATTATCCTGAAACAAATGAAAGCATCCAAATTGTTTCCATCAGTTTTGTCAAACATAAGGATCCAGACCCCCTAAGATACACCTCTCAATTACCAAGGTCCGATGACATAGTCACTGGACCAAGGTTGTTTTGTGTAATAAGAAATTATATATTAAGATAAAGGCTAAATTTGGAAAGGAGATTATCTCAGGGGATATGAATATTTGTTGGAGTTAGCTGAAGGTTCAAGCTAAAGTGGGTTCAATTTATCAAGTGTGCAGAAAATGTAAAATGGATGTCCACGAGAAATTTGTTTTGGTTCAAGCAAGTGTGAAGAATGAGTTAGAGAAATTTCAGGTTAACAGATGGCAAACATATTTTAAACCAATTGAAAACTGTACTTTTTAGTATTCCCCCACAAAAACCATTGAACAGATGTAAAAAACAGAAGACCTTAATTCACTTACATATTCCATATTGTATGCAAAGTCGCCTAGAAAAAAATAAATGAAATTTAAATACTTATAAAACTTTCCTTTTTTAATGTACTTTGATTCTGCAGATGTAATAGAGATCTTTCACTAAAACTTGGACTTCTAATAGTTCCTGCCTGGGTTATTTTAACAGTATTATACCATACAACTATTCCAAATCACATGAATGAACAAAAACAAAATCAATAATTCAAAACTTACCAACATGAAGAATAGCATCATAGTTTCCTCTCTGAGCATCCTCTTGAAGGTAGCTAATAGATTTTGCATTGACACTACCTAAGTCTCCATAAAGAGCTAGTCTTGGACTCCAGTCCTCTCCAGACTTGATGGCATTGAAAGCAAACACTTCACTCCACCCATCATATCCTCCACAGTGATAATCTAAATTTCATAAACAAAAGAATAAACCTTTGCATTGATACCTCTTTTCAGTTTTTTGACGAGAGGCATAAGTTTTAACATAAAGGAACCAATCTTTATCAAAGATTTCAATCTACAGTATTTATAAGATTTCCCAAAAAAGTCCTGCATAAATGTAACTTCCAGGATTCTCCCTTCTAATATCAAACCCTAATAATTCAAAATAATCATGGTGGAAGATTCTTCTTTCAGAAGCTGATTCTTAAGCTAAACTTTATCACTAGAAATGTTATGAGTAATTTAAAACGATGGGCTGAAAAATAGCCAAAGAAACTAGAAGTGCCTTTTTTTCAGAGTGCCACTCATTCTTTATATTTCGCAATCTACTTTTAAGTCTCTGGAAAGCCTTAATGTCAGGCAGCATCCTTTCATTTCCTTTATCTGAAAATTGAAGGCTGGAAAATGAAGACCTACCATATCTTTGAGCAGGAACCAGTCCTGTCAGTTTGACTCTGTGAATGTATCTCACCAAATGTGCTGAACCACCATCAGTAAATTTAGTAATGCTGCCAGATTTCCGCAGCGTAAGAGGAAAACCAGCCTTATTGTATTCCACAATAGTGTAGTTGGTGTAAGCCATAGTGACCCAGGTGATCATCATCTCTGTAGGATCTCCTAAAAGTTAAACAAAAAGTTCAAATCAATGTGCTTGAATCTTTTTGTACGAAAACTATCTGGCAAGGTCTTTAATAACCTCAGTACAGCATGCTACACATATTAATATTCAGTGCTCATCTGCAATAATACAGCAATAAAAACTTACTCACTGAGTAAAAACACATGCACATTATTAAACAAATATAATCAGAAATTTGACAGAGTGTCTCTTGAATTATCCATTGAATTACCAGAATAACAATTTAAGCTTGGGCAGGCAATAAAACTAACTAATTTGATTTGTAATTTGTGACCTTAAAATTGAACGATTTACGATCACCAATTTGGTAGTCAGAGCATAACATTACTAGATAAGTGAGGCATTACATAACAGGTCCAGTTAACAGTCGTGATGGAAGCAGCAGACCTATGTGGTATATGTAACTGCGAGTTTCCGCTTTCATTTAGACGCTATTTTAAGCTGACTGCAGAAATGGTCGAAATCCAGTTACAATCTCTATGACACAAGTTCTCTTAATCAAGTGTAAACAAGAGCTGTGTTCATGAACACATAACGCATCATAAAGTTTTTTACACGGAAGCCGTGCACAATTGTATCATTGAAAGAACCTGAGAAAACGGGAAGAATATCACAAAGTAGTAAAATTTCAAAATGTGAATGGTATTTCAAGGGCGATTCGATATGTAGGATGGTTTTTGCTTGGGACGATTAAGATTATAACACTTTCTAAAATTAAAGCTTACATAACATTTTCGGTAGAGTTAACATTTCTGCACTGGCCTGTGCGATTTGTACGATGTTGGGGCGCTACAGAAATTTCACTTAATTTAGTCGTAGCTGAAATGTAAAACTGATTAGGCTTACGATCTGCTTCAAGAGAAAAAGTAAAGCGAAAGGAACCTTGAAGGAACTGAACGAACAAGGTGACAATATTGACAAGGTGGACAACTGAAAGAAGAGAAGCAGTTCGTTATGCGATCTTGATGGAATTCTCGAGAATCGAAAGTGCGCTGAAGTTGAGTTTAATGGGGAAATAGTGCTTTCGTCTTAGTTGAAATCAGCCTTGCTTGAAGTGTAAGAAATTTTATGAGGAGATTTCAAAAGGTCGATTTGGGAAGTCATGTGACTGCGTGCGAAACTGGGAATCCTGAATTAAATCCCCAGAAAACGAGAATCGAACTTAAAATTCGCGGGGAATTTGTTGCATAAAGTGCTCAGTAGAGGTTGATAAAAGTAGAGAGACCCCTGTCGTTAACTGTGAAGAGATGACTCTTTCGAGTGTCAGCCTTAGCCTTCGTTATTAGTCAGGTGATTAACATCTGAGTTTTTCTTCTTAACAGTCTCTGATATGTTTTCCTTACCTGTTGCTGAGATGTGAATCTGTTGGGGTTGAGGGTCCTTCCCATGACAAACTTGTACTAGGACCAGCAAAACAAACGTTGATGTTTTCACAAAACACAGCGCCATCTCGCTCTTCACAGTCAAAATTGTTCGCCTTTGCTGGAACTTGTTTGTGAGCGTACGTCATCGATTATCGTTCCCAGGCTTTCACATTTTTCCATGCCTGCTCCGTTCAGCCTGGTGCATCCTGCATTGCACAGATGATACACTCTTGCAATGCACAGAAACCAGGATTGCATTACTTAGTGGGCTCCTTACAGAAACCTGATAAGAAAAAGAAAATCCCGAGCATTTCTTCTCGCCTAAGCGCTAGTTTTCGTAGCATGGCAAGCGAAATTTTGGTTAGTCACAAGTCACTATAAAGCCTTGACTCACTTTCTATTCATGTCGTCTGAAATAGACTTTTCGCGGTGCTATTTCACCAGTTTTGTTTCTGCTATCTCAATCTTCTGACATCAATGTCATATTTTGCATAAAAAATATTGCACTGATCCAAATTTATAGTCTGTATTTGGCGTTACTACTTTTCATAATACTACTATTATATTATTGTTATTATTATTATCGTTATTATTATTATTAGTATTATTATTATTATTATTATATTACTTTTCCTTTTTTTTTTGGTGGGGGTGGAAGTGAGGGAGGTATAATTTGATTGACTGTCTGTAGGCAGTGTCAGTAGAGCGACGTCCTTAGTCGGGTTACATCTCTGCTCTGGTCTGTCAATCTACAAGCTGGGAATTGGGAACACCTGCATCTTAAAACTCCAGTGCTTAGTTGCAGTCAACCGTGCCCGTAGATACGTTGTCAACGCTGCAATTTATGAAACCTGTCCGTTAATCAAGTTTTCAAAATTACATGGCTGGAATTTTCCAACCAATACCATGTTGCCCCAGTGATAGTTTCCACATCGAACGTAGGACAGACTGGGGAGACTCAACCCTTCCACCTCCTCCCTGCCCTTCCCCCTTTTCTTTGGGAAGATTACAGCGTCTTAATCCCCCTTAGTAACAGCTTATGGTTTTAGAGGAACATAATGCACCCCGTGGTGGCTGAAACGTGTAAAATGCTCATCATGTTATAAAAACTTCACCCCTATACTCCAGCTAATCTCATAAATTAAATCATGCGAACGAAACATCTGGAACCGAAGATGCATTTTACATTTAGGTAGAGGACACTGGTTCATGTTATTTTAAGCTTTATTTCATTCGAAATCAAGCATATCAATTTTAATGGCTATGAAGAGTCAGTCCTTTCCAGTTAACTTCGTGGATAACCAAACCAATCTCAGCCAATTTAAAGACAAAATCAACCGAAACTTCTGTTGTGAGATACACAACACCAAGAAGAGATGGAGGGAAATTTAAGCTGAATTTTCATCCTTTATTACTTAATCAGTCACAGAAGATTATACTTATTATCCTACTCCTCGAATAAGCGCCCGGGTGCTAATTTAAAACTCCGCTTGAAGAAGGGGGTAGGGGACGCATATTGGAGTTAGGGCGCTTAATCGAAGGGGTGATTATTTTGATAGGGGAGCAGTAGGACAAAGATCAAAAAAAGAGATATCACACATAAAGGAACTCTAAAAGTACATGGAGATAGAACTTACTGGAACGGAAAAGAAACTATTCTCCTGTACTGATTCCGCCGTAGTTGAAGCTTAAAAAGTTGCAAATAAAGTGGCAATAGAAACAAATTTTTTTTGTATCCCTACTGCTTAAGAAAGTGTGGGAGGGGGGGGGGAGGCGGTTACTCGAGGGGGTGCTTATTTCAAATTATGGCCTAGGGGATTGGCGCAGTGACGCTTTTCGGGGTAGGGCGCTTATTAGAGCATGGGCGTTTACTCGAGGAAATACGGTATCCGGACATTCCGATGAACATATATTATCTTAACTTCAGAGGGTGATACCTATTACTCAAAAGCAGTGACGGTCAATTACAAATTCGATTCATACAAATAATTGTCATTCATCTGATTAATCAAATTTAATTGCCATCGGGATCAGTAGGCGATGGGAAATGAGGCGGACACTCGGTACATGTGCGCATGTAGAAATCTTGAGGCTCTGTGTAGTGGCAATTGTTGGACGTTGCTTCAGTGCAGCGTGGTTTGGGGCGGCTCGGACACTGCCAGGGCGCGAAGGTCTTCGCTTTGTCAACATCTTGGGGATCTTTCATCCAAGCAATGATCTGAGATGGAGTTAAGATCCAAACATCTCCCAAATCCAGGGCATATTTGAGAAACTGTTTAGCCGCCTTCATGTGATCGGTTGTTGGAGGACGAAGGAAAAACGATGGATGCATGTGCATTCCAAAGGGTGCTCTGTTCGTGTCGTAATGGTAATGGAAGTTTCTCGTCAAAATCTCTAACCAGACTGTAGCATTTCCATCAGGATCGCAAGCATCCATCATTGATCCGCATGTCGAGTGGTCTTTGTTCATAAGGTTGACGTTAGGCACCTCCCACAGTCCTGGGTAGGACAATTTGGGACATGGTTCTTCTTCCGAGGGACAGTTCTGACTTGACAAGTAGTCCAAAGTATAAGGGTATATGGGCCCCTTTCCATCAAATATGATGTTTGAGGGCCAGGAAAGGTCATAAGTAAATTTACCAAATTTACTCGTGTTCAACGCTTTGAACATGTTCTCTGTAAACATCAGGTATGGAGCTCGAAATCCGACTATTTTATCGTAAGGTACGTTGGCAAATCTGCGAATGAAAGTAACTTTGTTGACACTTTAACTCCTATTAGTGACCAAAACAGAATTTCTCCTTACAATATAAATACAGTATCAACCAGATAAGTGATGAGAATAAAAAAAACCAATTTAGGGATAATTAGTTGATCAAATACTAAATTCTCTGAACTAACATTATAAGAATTGTACGGTTGACATAAAGGATTTGATCTGGGAGTCAAAGGGGTCAGTGACAAGTGATTGTCTATCGCTTGGGAGGTGGGGTGGGGAGATTTTGAGGGTGGATCAAATGCATGGTTTTCAGCAGAAATTTTATAATTACAGAAACTTTATCATTACACAAAAAAATTTTCCAACCTTCCCCCAACCTGTCCAGGCGCGTAATAATGACAAGTCCCAAGAAGCACTTGTGACTTCAGTAGTTTCAGTTCCCATTGTTAATAATTTAACAAACAGATTCCGAGTTGCCGTGCGTCTGTTCAGTAATAGATCACAGATGACCTCAAAATGTGGTAAGAACAAAAAAGTGGCACGAGGCGCAGCCAATTGTGTCACTGATGTTCTTACCACATTTTGACGTCCTCTGTGATCTATTACTGAACAGACGCACGGCAACTTGGAATCTATTTGTTTTATATAATAAAGAATTAAAATATAGGGAAAAAAGCTTTAATGATGACGTCATCTATACGTCTGTCCTCTAATAGATCATACGTGAGAACCAATCAGAATGCGTGCATAACTGAACTTATTATACAAAGTAAAATATATCATGACTACAAAACCGGGCAAAAATTTAAAAAAAAAAAAAAAACTGAAGAACGACGAGCGGGACAAAATTCTAGGAATTCTTATCGTCAGATCGTAATGGATGATATGGAGTACTCTTAAAAATTTGTTGAATTGAAATGGGACATAAACAACTGTGAAGATTAATATCGCAAACTGACTATGCAGGGAGAGTTTTCCGGAGGAATCAGTAGAGAAATAAACAAAGATCAGCGAAGATCAGAAATCTTGATGAGCCCCTTAACTTAGGAAGCAGTAACTTCCCGACGTATCAAGGTTTCTGCACGGGCATATATTTTTCCACAGGATACGTTTAAGCAAATCGTGTGGAACCGAAATATGTTCCATGGATTTTAATAAAAATTTGTCACGCAACATTTACACAAACTTTTTCCGGGAAAATGAGAGTTGGCGTATTTGCTAATGCGCGGAGTATGGCAGAACTCGACCGACTAGATCGCGTGCGTACAAGGGCGATTCTTCAGTATAAAATGTATGGAAAGAAGGGAAAAATTGAAAAATTGCACATGGATCTGCCTCACTCTACAAGCAGCTGCATTCGCGTGGGAGCGTGTGTGACTCTAGAAAACTGCTCAACCTACTTACCGATGCAAAATCTCTTTTTGCCCATCAATCTCGTTCTTCCACTCCGTGTAATCTGCGTTTTCCCAGTACGTGGTGGGTTCTTGATGCGTCACTGTGTGATCAGAAATCTCATATCCTCTGGAATATGCAGTTTCCACTAAGAAGTAGTCGGTATAGTTGTGACAAACGAACAAGGTTCCTACAGCAGGGCAGTTGTTAGGATTATGTAGTTCGTCGAGGAGTTCATTATATAAGTCAAAATATTCTTTTTCGTAATCATCATCGAATGTGACCATGATAATCTGCGGTGTTTTCTCAGGAGTCAATCCTCCGGGAGGTCTGCGATCTTCGCTACATCGGCAGTTTGGTGGCAGGCACTTATCAGGATCGCAAGGCTGAGCGGGTTTGAATTGACCTCGAGTCAGTTGAACTGTAAATAACAAGAACAGCCACAGGGAGACTTGAAGATTCATCGCCAGTTAGCTTTCCCTGTCTTGAGGAGAAGCGGATATCCCAAAGTTTTCTTACAAAATCTGCTGGAGGTGGCGGCAGTTAAGCTTTATTGTTTACCACTTTTCGCAGAAACATCAAACTTCCTGGTGAAAATGACCAATAAGCTCCTATCAGTAGTTCTTAGAAATCACGTGAAATTCGTATGATGAAATGAGCATGACACCGCTGACCTCCTCTGAGCCTCGATGCGTGATATTGACCATTAGCCGCGAAACGGCTAAATAATTTAGCCGTCAGGCGTAAAAAATTGACAAACTTTCATCGTTAGTTGTAAAAAAGTTAACCGTGAAAATTTTAATTTACTTGAGAAGCTAACCTGTAGCCGTTCTATGGCCAAAATTTTAATCTGTTACTCGTAAAAGCCATAAAAATGGTCCAAAAAATGGTCCAAAAAATAGTCCAGTCCATATTTTACCCTATGCCTAAAAGCCATCACCCTTTTGAGACCTTCTACTTCACATATCATTTTTTCACACCACAGGTAACCCGAGGTCCTTACGCGGATACATCTTCGATCACCAAGAGATTATTGATAATTTCTTGTCTTCACTCAAATTGACGTCATTCAGCAGTAGGGAATGAAAAGGTACGTGTTATCGTATGGTTTTAGAGAAAACCACAAAATGCCTTCTCTGCCTCAGAAATATTCTTTGTCTTTGTTGCAGTTCTCAGCTGGATTTGTAACTTTTTGAGTGGTTTTTAGTTTTTTCCTTCTTCCAAATAAATAAGAAGACATGAAGGAGTTTTAAAAACCGGGCCAGATCTCTGATCACAGAGGCGAGGTCTCACTCAAACTTCTGACATTTTATTTTTATATTTCAGCCGTGATTTCTGATCCATCTATGATGAAAGGCAGGGACTGACCTCGAAAACTTTGGGAAATGAAGGCTATTACACATCTCAGATATACACTGAAATGGGAAATAAATGATGAAGAACTATTATCGTTTTAAAACGAAACTATCTTCAAATATTACTGGGTTCTAATTTCCGGCCTGCAAGGATGCCAACTTCCGGACCGCTGTAGTTGATCATGTGATCAATTGGTCTAGAGTGGAGCGCACGAATTTACGTCCCGTTTTCTCGCCTAATTACATCTCTACGGACTTCTGTGAGTCACCTTTGTCTTTGTCTTCGGTTCGCTTTCAATTCATATTACAGCGGTTTCATTTGTGCATTAATTTCGTTCTAAAAATTTCGATCATGGGAATATTCCTCCTTCGTTTAACGACCTCGACGTAGGTTAGGTGGCGTGAAGTCCATATGTATAGATGCAGTTTTTAACTTCAAATACATTTGCTTCTCAGGATGGAAATAAGTTCCTTCTCAAAGCTCCCCTTTATTCAGAAGGCTGAGGTCATCTTCAGCTAGTATTCGTCTCGAAACTGGAAGTCACTGAAGGTAAATTAAACGCTTGCCGGAAGTCCGTCTTTGAATTCAATTTGATAAAGTACGGAAGGTACCTCGAATTTCCTACATCGCATTGAATCACGATCATTTTAGTGAGCAAGTATACTTATTATTTTAAATTGTTAGCTATTCAAAGCATGCCTTCGAAGTAAACCTCAGACAGGTCGTGGATTCTGTCGCTGCTGCTTGAAACTGACTTTGAATGGTGTGCATAATCTGTAGCTTCTTAAGTTTCATTTGAATAATATTATGATTTTTATAGGAAATATTTAAAACAGTCTTTTGAAGCACTTGTTTGGCCTTCTCCACTATTTGAGTCGTTAAGATTTGTTAGTATAAATGCAATTAAAGAATAGCTGTTTGTTTATTGTTTATGGTGAGATGTTTTACTTATGGATCATTAAATCACTAGCCAGTAGTTCTCAGATTAGCATATTAGTTGTTAATCAAAATGATGTAACATTGAAATCTTAATATTCAGTCAGTGGCAGTTGGTTTAATAATAAAGAATTCACTTCACTTCAATAAGTAAGGGCTTTAAATCGATTGTAATTAGCTAAAATTGACAAATGTGTCAATGTAACTTATTTTATCTTAAGACAAAGGTCATGTCGTTGTCAAGTACTACTTCAACAGCTGGCCAGCTGCACAAATTATGCCGTGAGGGGAATGTGACTGAAATCCGTCTATTGCTTCGAGAAATATCCGATGTCAGCAAATTGGATGAGCGTCTAGGTTTTCTGGGATACACTCCACTTCACGAGGCAACTAACTTGGGACAGACCAGTGTGGTTAGATTATTACTTCTGTTTGGTGCCAACCCAAATGCAAGAGCCAATGGATTTTATACACCTCTTCACATTGCAGCATCAATGGATAACTTGGACTGTGTGGAAGAACTTTTGAAATATAATGCTGATATTACCAGCAAGGATGAGTTTGAAAAAACTCCATATGAAACCGCTGTGATTAATAATTGCAAGAGGACAGCTCGTGTCCTCAAAACTGAAGGTAAGTGAAATTGGAGAGAGTTCAATTGGTTCATATTTCAAGGGTTTTTAAAGAATTATCCATGGGAACACCTCAAATCATTCCCAGGTTAATTTGATCAACTCTTTCAACTGATCACCCTCAAAAAGCATCCCCTTAATTTTGATACGCAATGAAGAGGACAGTCTATTAGAATAGAATATTAAAATCTGAATTTTTCTTATGTCAGCTATTTCATTTCTCCTTTCCATTTTAAAATGCTAATATTTAGATTTAGGCAAGCCTAAAAGCGGAGCTCGCCTTTTTTTTTTTTCCTGCACATCTCTTCAACAAAACTAAAGCCCTACTATGGATAAAGTGCGTGGTAATATTAGTGGATTTTCATTTGCAACTTCTCTGTGTCCGTGTAGAGGACTGATTATAAGATAGTGCCTGTGGTACAGCTGGCCGCGCATGCTAAAAGTAGCACCTTGTATGTTCATACGGTCATACGGTCGTACAGTCATACGGTTGTACGGTCATATGGTTGTACATCCAAATTTTTTCGGCTTGATAGGTTACTCCTATTTTGTATAATTATGGGGCTACACTCTGTGAGCTCTGCTATTAGGGTTAAAGGTAATCAGAATTAAGAAAATTATCAACTAGATTACCTCTAGAGGTATCACACCAAATTCTTTAAACGAGCCAAAAGAAAAAAATACAGCCAACAGTGAGGAGCATCAGCTTTTTTATTTTGGATTGGAAAGGAAAAGATTTTCATACAATTCTGTAGTGATGTAACACAGGTGCTCTAACCCTTTGACTCCTGAGAGTGACTAACATCTAATTTCTCCTTACAATATCACCTCTGAATTGTTCTTTAATGTCATGAGAATAAAGGAAATGATCATCAACTAAAGAAGGTCTTGATTTTTAAACAAATTCTCCCTGTTAGCTCTTTAGGAAATGTATAGTGAACAGTATGGAGAATATGCTTAGTGATATTAGGGTGTAAAGAGCTAAACTCTATTTCAAAATTGTCAGCTACAATTCTGTGAAGATCAATCCCAGAATCTTTTTAAGAGATCCATGAAGATTTTTATAAAAGACCTAAGTGATTTTCCACCTCTTCAACATCGTTACTTTTTATTTAACAATCAATTTCATAAGATGCTGTTGATAAGGATCTATAAACCCCTCTACTAGGGGGCTTCAGAAATATTACTCCAGTAATAATAATAACAGTAAATCCCTGATGATCTTCCTTTGTAATCAGATTTGAAATCTTTCTGACTAGTTGCATGATTTGTTCTACATTTTTATTTCAAGAATAAGCATGATTCAGGCTTAATTTTGCGACTTTTCTTTTAGTCACCTTAAACGTTGGTTGTAAATAGGGTTTGATTCTTTTCTTTCCTAAGAGAATTGTCTTTCATTCTCCCCACAGAGGTCAAGAAAGCAGCTAGAGAGAACAGTCCCAAGTTACGTGCATTGCTGACGTTAATTTCTCCCCAGGATGTTTTACACTCATGCTTTAAGGAGGCTCTCCTTGAGGCATCAAGAGGAGGTCACCTCGACGCCATTTGTTCTTTAGTCCTCTCAGGAGGGAGACATTCCTTACACCTTAAAGACTGCATTGTGCAAGCATTACAGGGTCATTTCTGTGAGGCAGCAGCCATGCTGCTGGCATGTTATGCAGCAAAGCATGATAAAAAGAAGCTTCTAAAATATCTACTAAAGGAAGAAATGAGCAGAGAGGAAGAGCAGAAGGCTATTGCGGAATTGCCAGCTGCTGTGGTGCCAACCGAGGATGATTTTGCCCGAATAAGGTATTTGGAACAGGTCATTGTTGGCTACATCTCTAACAAACCAGTATTATCGGCAAACCCTGCCATCCTATCTATTTCTCCCTTCCCTTTTCCATTTTACTTATAGAAAAATGAAGGATTGTGGTGTCAAGGTGGCATCATCATTTATTTGGAAGGAGGAAATTCATTTCTATTTTTTTTCACCCACCAAGACCTCGGAAAAATCAAATGGCAGACTGAAATACCCTATTCCAGTTGAATAATAAAAAATGCCATACTTTTGTCTTTGCACATGTTCTTTGGGTCTGAATTTAGACCAAAAGCTTCCCAACACTAACAGTGTGCTTTAACCCTTTAACTCCCATGAGTGACCAAGACAGAATTTCTCTTTACAATATCAATACAATATCAAGCAGACAAGTGATGAGATTAAAGAAAAATAGAAATTAACGGAACATAAGTTGATCCAATACTAAATTCTCCAAACCAACATCACCAGAACTGTATAGCAGACAGTAAGGAGAATTACTATTGAGATCTTGGGAGTGAAAAGGTTAACTGCAATGCTACCAAGTGCGATAATAAGAAATATATACCTTTCCAGCAGGGGTTAGGCAAACTTTCCATCAATCCTGACATGTTTATAAACTAAGGTTAATTTGTTTTATCGGCAGGGCATGTATTGCTGACAAAGATTCATTTCATATTGCAATACCTATTGGACTAGGAATTCAACAACAACGAACAGAAGCTGTGGGAATCATTCTCTTCAATACAAACTGCAATGAGGCACAAAAAAGAATTGATTGGCCAAGACTTGCTCTTGGTGATGTCAATCCATCTTGGTTGGAGAAAGTCACATGGGTGGAAAAACTCTACTTAGCTTCAAATCTGCTTCTAAGTGTACCAAAAAATATAAAGATATTAAATAAACTGTACTGTTTGGACTTGAGAAGAAATCAATTAAGGAGTATACCTGCCAGTTTGCTTGAAATGCCAAATTTACGAGAACTTAAGCTCTGCTTCAACAAAATTGTCGAGCTGCCTAAGAGATGTAAATGGAGTCCATCACTCAAGATGCTCTATTTGAGTGATAATCAACTGCAAACATTACCTGGACGCATGGCAGAATCCAAGTTGTCAATATTGTACATAGCAAGGAATAATTTGTATGAAGTACCCCCATGTATTTGCAAAATTACAACACTACAATCACTGGACCTGTCTAGCAACCCAAGACTGACTCAGCTTCCACCACAAATGGGAAGACTCACCAATATTGAGATGCTCAAATTGGAGAATTTGGATCAGGTGAGAGAAATAAATAAGATATGATTATATGAGAACCGGCAATCAAAACTATAACAAAATTCTCTCGTCATTAGTTATCACCAGCCTAAATTGAGCACTGGTGGGACAGTGTATGCATTGTGCTAGTATTTGGACAGAATAATTGGACAGTTCATGCATCATACCTATGTAACTGGAGGGTACTGATCACGAGCGTGCACTTTTGTCCCACATCTTGCCAAGTTAATTGTTGCATTTCATGAAAATGTGTCATCAATGGCTAGTTTTTTTCTCAAATTTTGTCATAGTTTCGATTAATTTACGGTATGTTTGGATATCATGTTGTCCAATTCTGTTTGAAATCATACTCTTAATTAACAAATCAGACTCTTGCTTCACTGTCATCCAATTTTGTTTGTCCCTCACATGATAACAGACCGAATTGGACTCCAATCAAACCTATTACCCTTACTAACTAGGATAGGGGACACTCAAGTTAACCAGCCTCTAGTAATTTGGAGCAGCACTTGAAGGCAAGAAGTTTTCCATGCAAGAGCGAGAGAGAACACTTGCTCAAGATTTTTCTAAAATTTGTTGTTTTCCCTCTTGGTAAAGAGCTGTCCAGCACAATAAAATCTGTTATTCAATGGAGGTGCAAGGGAGGAAATTTAGACTTTACACTGATGAATGTAATGGATCCACATGGTCAAAAAACTTTCTAATTTTCCATCATTTTTTAGAGGCCATTTTCTTGTGCTTAATTGCTCTTTTTTACATAATTTACTCGCTCTATTGTCAAGTGCTTACTACAAGGTTAATTTTATTGAGAAAGTTAAAGTATGTAGCTTCACTATTAATCCTTTGACCCTCAAGAGTGACTAGCATCTAATATCTCCTTACAATATCACCCCTGAATCACACATTAAGGTCATGAGAATAAAGGAAATGATCATCAACTGAAGAAGCTCTTGATTGTTAAACAAATTCTCCTCATCAGCATCTTAGAAAATGTAGAGAGAACAGTATGGAGAATAAGCAAACTGAAGTTAGGGTGTAAAGAGACAAAGGGATATCTAGAGAATGGCTGTTCCCGGAAATTTTACAGTGTTTGCATGACAACCACTGTTTATAAAAGACTTTGTCTCCACTGACTTAGAGCCCAGAACATACTACAATTAAAAGGCTGTTTTTATTAGTTAAATAATACTTTCTATTAAACCCATTAAGCTGACAGATCCCCCAGAAGAGATCAAGAAAAATGGTATCAAAACCATAATGTATCTTCGGAACATCTTGCGCAGGTCAGAGGGGTATTACACTTTGAAGCTGATGTTGGTTGGTCGGGCTGAACAGGGAAAGACAACGTTGAAGCACCGACTGATGAGGGACTATAACTATAATGTCAACAACTCAACAAATGGTAGAGATTTTTTTTCTTGCTTTTATTTCTTTTCTGTAAGAAAGCCCCTCTTTTAACAAGACTCCTCTGATAAGCTTCTTCTTCATAATGAGTCCCCGTCTCAGATATCTTCCCCTTCCTTAAAGTCCTTGTTTCTGATAAGTTCCCGTTTCTGAAAGTCACTGTCCCTAATAAGCTCCACTCTCTCAAAAGCCCCGCCTCTAAAATGTTCTCCTCACTGAAATGCCCCTGTCTCTGATAAGATCCACTCTTTAAAAAGTACCGCCTCTGAAAAGTTCCCCTTCACTAAAATGCCCCCGTCTCTAATAAGCTCCGCTCTAAAAAGCCCCCATCTCTAAAAAGCTCAACTCTCTAAAAAGCCCTGCCTCTAGTTCCTTCCATCTCTAATAAGCTCCCTTCTCTAAAAGCCCCGCCTCTAAAAAGTTCCCCTCACTAAAATGCCCCCGTCGCTAATAAGCTCCACTCTTAAAAAACTCGTCTCTTTCTAGTGAGCTCCCCTCTGACACGCTCCCGAAATTAGAAACCGAAATAAGTTACGACAGAGAAAGGAAAAATAACAAATAATTTTGCTGAGAGAATTTTTCTTTCTCTGCTAGGGATTGCTATGGACGAATTCCGTTACAATCGCAAAGATTTTGGTCTCTTTTCGATCCATCCGGAATTTGTGTTTAAGATTTGGGATTTTGGTGGCCAGGAGGATTTTTATACCACGCATCAATGTTTTCTTTCAACTCTGGCTCTGTACCTTCTGGTATGGAATCTGGAGGAAGGTAATTATCATAAATTTGGGCGTTGAATGAACTTTTGCAAATTCCATACCTCTTGCTTATTAGAAAACAGAAGTTAGATTTTGAAAAGGGGGGGGGGAAGAGAATTAACTTGGGAATTCGTGTGTAATACGGTAGAATAAATCCTTCCTTCCCGCCCCAAGCACCTCTGTTTTTTGTTCTTTAGCCGTTAAGGGATGGGATACAACTAAATTGTCTCCAGATTCCCTCCGACAGCGGAGGTCGATAAAGCAATTGAGAAAATCGTTTGGTTTTTCAGGTCAAAATTCATAAAGGAGTTTACCCCCTTAAGGAATTTTGGAAAGCTGACGCAATGAAAATAAGCCTTCCCTGGCCGAATCGCTAGGTTTTTGAAAATCTGCCGAGCTGGTCGACCTTCCTTTTTCAATTTACAATTGATAACCATCTCATTATTTCACTCGCTCACCGACGCAGCACAACAATTTCTCCAGAAACTACTGAATAATCTGGTTTTGAAATGATGAGCAATTCAAGTTTGCGTTTGACCCTTTAACTCCGATGAGTGACCAAGACAGAATTTCTCCTTACAATATCAACAGCATATCGAGCAGACAAGTGATGAGAATAAATGAAAGTATCAATTTGGATATTATTCGTTAATCCAATACCAAATCTTCTAAACTCGCATCATAAGAATTGTATGGCAGACAGCAAAGAGAATTACTAATGAGATCCTAGGAATAAGAGGGTCAAGGGAAGTAACTCAAACGGACATTTCTGAAAGCCTTTCCAATTTTCGGCAGGTGAAAGAGGAATCGAGATGCTTACGAGCTGGTTGGACACAATTGCTGCCAGCGCTGCCAACACCAACCTCGTCATTGTGGGAACACACCTGGATAAGGTACGGAAAGAGAAGGAAAAGGGGTTCCCAGAGCGCATGCGTGAACTAGTATGGAAGCTGGTTTCTTTACCGAAGTACAATCGAATAAATGTCAAGGGAATAAAGGAAGTCAGCTGTGCTTTGAACAACAGAGAAGGTATCTTTGCTGAAGTGATTTTCGGATTACATCTTTATTTCCTTCCCTCCATTTTTGATCCCCTTGTGTCCATTCGTTACGATTTAACGTAAGCGGTTTATTTTGTTTTCAAAATATAGGCATTGATGACCTCAGAGTCACCATTTACGATGTTGCAAGGAGCCTTGAGAAGAGCGGCAGAGGACAGGTATTCGTCATGGGGGAAAAAATCCCACATAGTTTTCTGTCAGTGGCAGATGTCATTCAAACCAAGCGACAGGAGCTGCGGGATAATGGCCGCATGCCAATCTTGCACAAATCCGAGTACGAGGCGCTTGTCCTGGACACCATAAAGAACGACGATCTGGATATTGAGGACACTAACGATTTGACGGAAGTCACGCAGTTTATGCACGAAAGAGGTAGGCATGAGCTCGCGGATTGGCCAAAACCTGCACTTAGAGCAAGGTATTTGGACGTTTGTTACCTGGCAACACGTGGTTTTGCAATCATGCTTTGGTTTAAGTATATGAATGTCCGCTTATCACGGGCTGTATGTTTCCTCCTCTGGAGAGCATTGCAGCCATAGACACGGGTCGTCTGATTTTCCTGCGTTTCTTACTGGTGACTCACCAGCTCCCCGGTTTCCTGTACATAGTACTGGTAATGAGTCAGTTTCTCGCGCTAACTCAACCTTCCACTAACGCTGAATAGATTTTGCCTTGAAAAGTAAGAGAGGTGTGTGAATTAGTCCTAACTCAACAAATTGTCGAGATTAATACGATATAGAAGTATCAGCTTTACCCCTTTCAATCTTCATGCTAATTCTTCCAGCTAATGACCTTGAATTTCGTAATAGGCAATTTTGAGAATTTGGCCTGAAATGATCTCCCCTTGTCAGTATATATTCCTTATTCTCTATACCTGTTGAATTTATAGTGTAGTGAAGGTAAAGTAAAGGATTTCAGTTTGTAAATATCATCAATTGATCCTTTAACAGGAATTTTGATGCACTACAATGACCCAAATCAAGATCTTCAGGATCTTTTCTTCATTGATCCCCAGTGGCTTTGCGAGTTGATGGCACAAGTCGTGACGCTACCTGTAGTTAATCCGTTCATTCATAACGGCGTCTTGAAGCTTGAAGATCTACCTCAGATTTTTAGAGGTGAGCAGTTTCCGCACGAAAACTCCCCGCAGTTCATTCGCCTGTTGAATCGTTTTCAGATCGCTTGCTCCTTGGACGAAGGTCGCGTCCTCATCCCTTCCAGATTATCGGCCCAACAACCGGATGAAGCGACGAATGATGATTTACCGTTCATTACACTGAAGCGGCTCCATTCGTTGCCATACATTCCACATGGGTTTTGGTGTCGGCTCATTTCGCGCCTGTTATATTACATGAAAGACATGCTGTCTAGCGGAGAAAACTTCAACCGCCAGGAATACAACACCATCCCGTTTCAGCTGGACCCCTTCTGCTGTCGGTGTCCTTTGACCGTGTATGGTGTCCCAGATGGTGGCCTGGTGGAAAGCGACTATGAGGGGCATACCTCCCCTTCTATAAATCCCGCACTCGGTGGATCGCTCGAGAATCTGCAAGGATCTCTCAACGATTTTCCCGGTATCGTTCGATTCTTTAGTGGTCAACGCCACGGAAATTACATCAATGGCAGATTTTTCGCTTATCCCGACTTGGATGGCGGTAGCTCTCGGAGTGATTCGGGGTTCGAATACAGTTCGGAAGACGACGACGAAGCTCGCACCAAGTCGGCAGGTACTACTGATCGGACATTTCCTGGATCAAGTTCCAGGGCTGGCCCAAGAAGAAACAGAAGAATATTTAAACATGGCACTGATCCAGGGAGACGAGGTCAAGAAGATAAAATTGCTGATTTGGATAGTGGAACTCCTAAAAGTGATTCAAATGTACCTATCTTACGCCAAAATTTTCGTTTAAGCACTTCATGTCCGAGCTACGAAGACGGGTCTTGTGATACGCTTACTTCCGAAGTTTCGTACACCAGCCCTGGAGTGCCGCAAGGTTCTTCCCCGGCTGACCACCGGCCATCTGCCAACTGCATGGCTGAAAATGATGATGCGGAAAATTTATCTCGACGAGGGGAACCTACCGATATCGAAGCTAGTCAAGATCTGAAGGATATCAGCAAGAGAGAAAGTCCCTCTGTAAAAATCGACGGTTTTCTAGACGACAAAACAACTCAGCATAGCAACAGTGATGATAGCGATAGTGTTCCTTACCTCTCCGCTGGATCCAGATCGTGCACTCCAGACCATACTCCTCGTGACCAAACCGACAACCATCAGAACAGCTCCGAATCAGAAGCGGCTGGGGAAAATCCTGACCTAGGTCTTCATCCTGTAGGTCGTACCCCTGATGGCTTCAATCAGAACTGTTCCTTGGCGACACCCGATAAGAAATCTAACAATCCTTCCTCAACGGATACTTGTGAAGTCCCTGAAATAGGCCAACCCGACGATCGCCTTGTTGCTGATAACCCTGAACGGTTTCCGCAATCGACAGAAAGTTATTCAGAAGGACCACATGATCAGCAAGTTACTGTAGAGAAGGAATTCGACGGAGAGATCTCTTCCGCGTTAAACGGCCGTACATCTGATAAAGAATCCATCCTGGAGTCTTTTCATAGGGGTTCAAGCCGAGGTTCTGGTGAAACTGGAGACGTATCCATGGAGATACGGACTGTTGATGACGACAAGGAGACAAGAGGTGAAGGAAAATATAATTTGTAGATTAATCTTTGTTACTGAATTTCTCCTCAATAATCACATCACGAGATCGAGATTTTAAACATGAAGGAAAACTCGGGTCCGAATTACCAACTATCGCGCGAAAAAACATGAGCGAATATTCCAATTGTTTTGGGAGGAGAGAGTAAATATTTGTGCCCAAGAACACGACACATTGACCCGGCCAGTTCTCGAACCCACACCTCTCGGTCCGGAGGCCACTCCATTTACCATTAAGCTACTGTGTCTCTTTTTTCTCTACAATATCACCCCTGGATCACACGTTAAGGTCATGAGAATAAAGGAAATGATCACCAACTGAAGAAGCTCTTGAACCCTTTGACACTTAAGAGTGACCAGCATCTAATTTCTCCTTACAATATCGTCCCTGGATCACACGTTAAGGTCATGAGAATAAAGGAAATGATCACCAACGAAAGAAGCTCATGATTGGTAAACAAATTCTCCTTGTCGGCACTTTAGGAAATGTATAAAGAGCAGTATAGAGAATATGTATTCTGATTTTAGGGTGTAAAGGGCTGAGCAAGTAAACGTTTTTCTTCTTTCCGAATGAGATACCAGTCAAAAACAAGTAACCTTTCTTCATTTTCTTGCATTTAATTGTGTTGTTGAACAAGAAATTGAGTCTTTAGGTGCTACTTCTGGGAAAGAGGTAGAAGTGATAAGTAAAAAGAATGTTTTACTAATAGTTTTTTCTCTTTATTGTCCACATATTAAAATAGCTGAACCCTTCTTGTTCTTCTTCTTCTTTGTCATTTGATAAACAAATCTTGTTTTTATTTTCGTTTCATTTACTATCAGCCGGGAACCATTTGTCTGACAGCACCGCCTGTGGTATTCAGATTGAAGCGTTTGAAAACGAGTTCGTGTCGCACTTATCGTCGTACAGTTCTCCAAGTACAAGTTTTCAATCCGCTGATATCGCGATAGGAACACCACAAAGGACTTCATCTTTTGCTGCTTCTACACCTAAACATCCTACGGATGGCACCTCCGCAGAGGGCAGGAGTGACAAACCACGGAGTGAAACACCACACCTTCCCAACTGCCCGTTTGTGGAGGAGTTCCCCGTCGATTGTCTACCGGAGTTACCGACAGATCTGGCGACGCTGATAGACGACAATTTCCTTCACTGCTGGAAATCTGGCGTTTGCCTTCGTCACCCACGGTTGTTCCTCCTGCTGCACTGTGTCCCTGACACCGGATCTGATCGACAGTTGATTCGAACGGAAGTAAGCCCTTGCCGTCAAGGTCGGAGGGTTTTGAGTTTCGCGGTTGACCACATCGACACGCTCATTCGCGAATGGTACCAAGAATTATCGACGACGGACGGACAGCAACCCAAAGTCAGGCAGCTTATTCCCTGTATGATGTGTGAAAAACTCGGCCTTGCACCCTACAAGTTCACGTTTGCCGAATGTCAGCGTCAAAGTGCAAAGTCAGACTTAATCCGTTGTCCCAATCACCCGAGCTGGGAAGTTGATCTTCACCAGGTTGCACCTGATATAATGTTACATGACGTAGATCCTGATTTATTGTTGTCGCACGAAGACGTTACATATGAGGACGCCGACTCGAGTATTCTGGGAAGTGGAGGCTTTGGAAAGGTATCTGTTTCTTCATTACGTTGCACCGGTCTTTTTGTAACCGGTGTGAAATTTGCGTGTTAATGCAATTTATTATGGTTTCGTTAGAAAAGAAGCTTTTTTGCCGCAATGAATTAAGTTGAAAATTTAGGATCAAGCTGATGTGGATGGGGGTGAACTTATTATCTTCTGTCTTTTAAGATAATTTATCGTGATAAGGGCGAACAGAGATTACAAATGCTCTGCTGTAAACTTTCCTTTTTCTCATGAACCTTGGTGTCCGAGCTATTTTTTCACCGCTTATTCTCGTTTTATTTTTATTTTGTTTCGTTTTGTTTTTTTTGCTGTTTGTTCCGCCTTGGCTCGCTAGTAGCAGGCTCGTTGTTGATTTCCTCGCAGTTAAAGATTTTTTCTCAGTAGGAAGGGACCTTAATGAATTTTCCATAACTGACTGTCGATGGTGTAATAGGCGTCTGCGCCCGAAAGAGAGGCTGTAAGACCCCTCTATTGTATGGCAACGTAGTCCTGTGCTAAATCCAAGCGTCCTGATTGGCTCTTGCTTGTCGGGATTTTGCCATACGGACCGTGAAATCCTCAGCTAAGGATATACCTTCAAGCTCCCTCAGCTAGTATCGCAAGAAAAACGCAAACAGGAAATGTAAAACAAAGGCCAAAATTGTTGATATAGTCTTCTGATTTCTCAGGTCGTTCGCGGGGAATGCCGAGGACAGGCAGTCGCCATCAAGTTCTACATTCAAAGCGATGAATCCGAACCCTTAAGGCATTACCGCGAGGCGCGCAAGGAACTGAACGTGCTGCGTCGTGTACGACAGCATCCTTTCCTTATCAACATCATCGGTGTGTCTTTGCGCCCCTTGTGCCTTGTGCTGGAACTAGCAGAGCGCGGGGCTCTCACCGAAATCTTATCCAGCCCAAAGTTGATTGATCGCATTGTTCTCTTTCGGATTGCATATCAAGTTGCAGACGCACTGAGATTCCTTCATGACATGGGTGTCATCTATAGAGACTTAAAACCCGAAAACGTCCTTGTTTGGTCCTTGGAGGAACACGCTGATCTTCACGTCAAGCTCATTGATTTTGGTACGGCGAACTTCGCGACTTCGACTGGTTTGATTTCATGCGCTGGATCTCCCGGTAACCATGCACCTGAGATGTTGGAATCAGCAAATAAAGAGGAATACACCTTTCAAGTAGACGTATATTCGTATGCGATCCTCCTTTACCGAATTATCACCCGGTTAATGCCGTTCATCGGGTACGATTCAGGTGCAAAAATCAACGCGGCTGTAATTGCTGGAGAGCGTCCGCAGTGGCAGCACGTTCCAGTAGCGACTTTCGGCTTGCCGACGCTTACCGAACTTATGCTTCGATGCTGGTTGGGTAGGCCGACCAAGAGACCGACGACCGCTAAAATAACCGAGCAAGTCTGTCATCCCGCGTTCCAGTGTTTGATAGCCAAGCAGCTCATCCCTTCAGATCAACAGTCTGTGCGTCATGCTTGTCTCGTGCAAGATTCCCTTGATCTGTGGATAGCTTGCGATGACCACACGGGCAACCGAATTTTTGTCTACGATGGTCGCACACTCAGCATGAAGTTTTCTTTTTCAATTGAAACCTATCAAGAGCAGCGTCTCTTGTTTCAGATCCAGTACATGCATGTTATGGCACCTTTCGTCTTAATCGCTGTTCGTGGAGAGTTTGCCTTGGTCAACGCTTACTCCACTTCGTTTGAGTCGCGTTACAAGTACGTGGCATCCATGAGATTCGACCAACCAGTTAGCTGCGTTGCATCAAACGATGAGTACGTGTTTGTTGGACTTTACGATGGAAACGTGCATTGTATCTTGAAAACAGATATGAAAAAGAGCTTCAGGAAACGTGCTTTTCACAGCTTCAATGTTGGACGCCACCGAATTCTGTCACTCACAGTGGCACAGGATAAACTCTGGGTATCCACGAGCCGATACATTTACAGATATTTAACAAAACCAGGCGAAGTGGAGGCTTTCGATATCGACGCCGTGTGGTACGGTGGCCCTGAGGGACTGGAGAACAACCCACAAACGCAAATCTCCTTTCTAAAGGTTTCTCGTGACGAAAAAAGCGTTTTGTCCGTGTGCAGGTCCGTACTCAGCAAATGGGATTCAGAAAACAGGCAGAACCACTTCAGCGTTGACTGCGCAGTTGTTCTTAGGAGTCTCGCTGCGGAATCCGAGTCACACAAAGATCACGATGACGCGATTGCGTGTATTACCTGCGTGGAGCCCACGAGTGACTCTATTTGGGTGGGCATTGCGAGTGGCCACATCATGATATTTGATTCGGAAACAGGACTTCTACTCACTTGGTTTCGTCCTTTTGACGAAACACGTAGTCTGACCGTTATCAATTCTCCTGGTCCCTGCGGCACTGAGCAAGGATACGTCGTAAGTACCGGGAAAGGGTTAAGACCGGACGGATTAGGCCCGGTATGCGAACTTTCGGCGGAACGGGTGACAGAAATCCCGAGGGAAGATACAAATCGTAAAGTGAGTGAACCGGAACGAAAGAAGATTCACAGAAGAAATTCAACAGGAAGAAAACTCAGGACTCCTACTCCGCCCATAGACGAGCAGGAAAACGATACCGTTGACGCAAACCCTACTTTGCGGCCGAAATGTTCCATGATGATGTGGGAACTGTTGTCCAAGAATGGCTTCGCAAGAGTAGAAGCCAAAAGCGGCCGAGAACGCTCTTCGTGCAGTCATGGTACCAAAGCAAAAAGTAGTGATCAGCCCTTGCAGAACGGCGATGAAAATAATCAACAGTGAAAGTTACAGAGAGCTCATTGTCATGGTCTCATTCTTTGAAGATCAGGTAAAAATGCCCTGAAGAGACTGGCAAGCATATGACGGGTGTCGGGGCAAGCGCGCTAGCTCGACCATTTAAACCAGAGTGGTTTCTGATTCTTATTTCTATTCATTACATGGAATAAAATAACAGAGAACTGCTGGCTTGGCCAGTTTTCTATAAATACAATCTTTCCAACCTTGTTCTCAGGGACTGTCTTCTCTTCGTCAGCTGAGGCAGAAGAGAGAGACGGAGACAGGTCAGAAGTGGGAAGAATAGAAAGCATGGAAACGTCTCATCTGTTTTGGTGTAGAGAAAATTCAATTAAGGTGCCTTGATGTTGCCTGTGTACAATGTGGGTCAAATTCAATGTTGTAAGAAGTTGAGATTTATTTTATCTAAAAAAACCGACCAAATGGGTACTATTTTATTGCGGTTAAAATTTTTTGTAATTGAATAAATTCGCACGAAGGCTCTGCGATTACGTCAATTACGTCTTTTTTTCCATGGAATAAGAAGAGAAGAAAAACGAAACATCTCTAAATGCATCACTTGTGAACAGCTTTTTTATTTATCTCGTCAATCCGCTGAAATCATTCTTCTCTTTTAGCAATTGTTTATTCAATGTTGAAGACTTGATTTAATTTTTTAACCAAATCCATATTTGTTTTAACTTTCACCGACGCTAACAGTTTAGAGTAAGTTAAGTTGATAATACATACAATGGCTCAGAGAAGGTGCACCTCCAATCACTACTGCAGAGCGTACATCTCCCGGACAGAAAAACAGAAATCAAGAGAGTGTTTTCAGCATGAGTGAAAACACGCACTATCCTTATTGTCTGTTGTAATATGGTGTTTTCATTAACTTTGAGAAAAGTTGTTTATTTGATGTAAAATCTAGTTTTTTTCACGGCTCTTGTTTGGTCTTGACACACAACCCTCAAGGTCGTTGACGTGTTGTGAGACGAAACCAAGCAACGGTTACAAAGGAGGCCAACTTGGAAGACAAAACAGAACAAAAATTTCACCGTCTAATTGTTATCTTTATCATCATACATGTTCTGCTTCTTTGTTGACGTTCAAATCAACTCGCGGCCAAAAAGGGACTTAAATTTTGCGAACTGGCCTGAGCTAGAAGGACCGAGAAGAAATTCGACTTCAGTGAGTATCGCATGTTGTGGCGGCCGGCGGTCGGGTGGCGGGGGGGGGAGGGGTGCTTTTTCTCCTTCTCCCGCCTTCCTAGCCAATATTTTCCTTCCTCACTCTTTCTTTTCGTGCTCTCCCCTTTGTTTGGTTACAGGCACATTCATTATGGAATAAAATCTCTATATGACTATGTTAAAACAAGGAACACCTCACAGACCTCTTTGCACTGAATACACCTCAGACACGAGTGCAACTTTGAAACTGTTGAATTATGCAAATTTTGCCTTCACTACACAACCGAACACAGTCAAAGGTTGAGGCATGGGCGCGTTGGTCAGCTAGGCCCAAGATATATTTTAATTGCGACAATGAGTTTACAACAAAGTGGATAAGAGATACATCAAGTAACGTCCTACATGCGCCAAAGCCGGACACGTAAACCCCAAAAACCTCTTGTAAGGAAAATAGGGACCGTGTACTCCCGACCAACTGCAGTGGCGCCACCTTTGGGGTTTTAAGGTTGATCTATAAACAATGAAGAGAATGAAGAAAACAAATCATATCAGGCTAATTACACAATAAAAATAAACCTTATGGGAAAGTGCTAGTGGCAAGGCTGACCGTAGAATGCCACAAGTTTCTCAACGGTCTCTTCTTACAAACGTACTACCCATGAGCCTTCGCGTACTACGCTCGCACCCAGTTCTCTGTTCCGTGTCGGCAAAATATTAATTTGTGTCAATACCGATTATCACAAATTACATTTCTTATTAATAGCCTGTTATTGGAGTATTTTGCATATGGTTGGGTAAGAACAGAGTAAGACAGAAGATCGACTGCCAGCATTTCACCTCCTTACACTAAATAAGACCATAAAGCGTTGATCCCGTACTCGTGATTATTCATCTCAAAGACTTTCGAAGCTCTCTTTCCGACCCCGCGTAACCTTTGTCTTGGAAACTTTCATACCGTGAGTTAACTCCTTTTACTCGAATCGCGTTTCCTGACAAGTCGAAGCGAAAAATTATGTGGTCCGAAACACTGAAAGACTTTAGGACTTTTTTATATTGTTGTTGTGATGGGAGGGCAGAGAGCTTCGCAGTCTAGTCCTCTTCAGGTTTCGCTAGTTAAGGGTCGTTTAGGTACATTTCCCAACTACAGGGCTTTGTATCTCAAAAAAAAAATTGTTGATGAAACGGTTTCTTCACGGCCATTGGCGTCTTCGCAGAACACAATCAAATGTTTTGAGAGATCATAGATGTTCTTTTTGAGATGAACCCATAAAACAATTAAATATTTATCGTTGACACCGAGAATATTCTTTGTATTTCCAATGCCCTATCAACAAAATTATACCAGAAGCCGGAATTTCACAAAAAGAAGGCTTTTGTAATTGATGAATATCGTGATCGGGAAAGAGGTAAATGTTGAGAATATTTGATCAAAAATTGCACTCAAAAATAGTTTCTGTATTTCTAGGAGTTCACCGGAATATTCCATGGTTATAAATCAGTAGACACACTTTTAACCAGGGAGGTTCTCACGTTAATGTTACTTTAAATGTAATTCTTCATGAATTTCTGTTTCTAGCGCGCGCTTAAAAGAAAAAGCTGCTATTATGACGCAATCTGATCATAAAACAGACTCGGGGAAAACATTACAAAGGCCAAGATGGTTTTTGTAACGTCTTGGATAAGTTTTTTTACATTCGCATGTTTCAGGGACTATTTTTGGCAGAGGTCAGAAACTGAATGCAAAGAAAGGTAGGTCTTTAATCATTCAGTCCAATTTCGATAAAAGTTTTAAGTTTGTAAATAAACAACGGAAAACTTTTACAGACCGATTGTGCGACTTGATTTATCAAACTATTAAATTACTTCACCAGCTACTCGACATTAATGTGAATATTCAAGAGTTTAAGTTTAAAATATGTGTTTGAGGCAGGCTCAAGGTATTTAACATCTTAATGCACTAAATAAATGGAAAGAACAAGGCTTTATTTTTGCAAAACTTGTGTTGCAACCAAGTATTATTGGTAGTCGTCATTGTGACGCTAACATTTCTTTTTTTCAGTTTTGAAGAGGAAGCCCGCAAGAAAGATGTAGAACAGCAAAGACAGGTATTCTGATTTCTTTGTAATGCCGTGTCAACGTAGCAGATTGCTTATTATTATTATAATTTTTCTTTTTTAAAGTTTCCGATGAGGAAGGATTACATGCTAGCAACTGAACTGCGTAGAGCGGGCCCGGCATAATTATCGAAAACTCCAAACCCCAACGAAACAAAATTTCAGAGTTTCATCAGAACTGTTTATTTGGGCCATATTCAATTTCAGAGGTACTAATGCAAAAAGAGTTTCTTTTATTGTATTTTTCAAAGAAGAAAATAAACTATGAAAATAGTCAAGAGAAGGTAAGAATCACACCATGAAGGGAAAAAAAAACAAATCGAGCAAGTCTTTAGTTTACTTTTTTTTTTTAGTCGTCAAGGTTTCGACAACGCCTATTATAAAAAGGAGAGGACATTTCTGAAAGTAAAACACATTATAAATAACAAGTACATGATTCCGTTTCTCTCCTGACAAATTAGAGCTGCAACGTTAATTCAACGGGTTCGAAGCCTATATGGTTGACTTTGCAGCTCTAATATTTCAGACTCTTTGAAAATCTAATCAATCTTTGTCCAAAATACCACAAATGAAAAAACTTTGAATAATAAAACCATTGTTTCACTCACCCACCGAAGCGGCGCAGCAGTGTTTTTAAAAGCTGTTAACTTGTCAACTAGTGTCATATGCTTTAAATATTTTTAAATGGAATATCTTTCTTGTGGAAATTAAAATGTAGTTTGCTCGTAACTTTCTAAATTTTACTTTGTAGAAAGCGGAAAGTAGCGGATTGATATAAAGGTAGCCATTAGGAGGGGGAGTGATTTTCCGTCTCTGTCTTTCCTTTGAGGGGCTATTGGAGAATATTTTCATTTTTGAAATTCCATTATAGCATTGCAGCATACAAAAACAAAAATTTATATTCACAGAAAACTGTTGACTAAACTGAGCGAGCAGCGTAACATATTGATTAATTGCTTCAGATTTCTCAACTTAATTTCTTCTAAGTGAAAAAAAGCTATCAGGGATTGTCTATTTGCACGAGTTGTCACCCATCTTGTTACACCCCCCGTCAGTCGGGTTTTTGAATCGGCTGTTTGGACGCATTCAAGTTACCGAAACTTTGTGAAAATGTTTGCCGTCATAAGGAGGTGGGCGTTGTGGGGTAGATGTTCCTCTTGAGGCGAGGGCATTGTTGGAATGTGGCGTTTGTTATGGATATTTTAGATGCTGATATTAACTATTGATATCATAATGTTTGTTCTCTTTGCAGAATGAATGCGCGTCCATAATTCAACGGGCTTGGCGTCGACTAAAATTAAAAAGACTTGAATTTCAGGTAATTTGATATAGTAATGACAGTAATTTACATGGTAAATTCAATCATTTAATTTTATGGAGCGATTTCAGTTGTATAAAATGATGGGATTATTTTAAAATAAAAAGGGAAGTTGGGTTCCAAAGGTTAACATCAAAATATTTATTTCAAGATGTTTACAATGAATTTGTCTTAAAGGAATCCAAATCGAGAGTGGAATATTTCACTCCATGTACACTGGGCTTCACTTTCCAACTCTTCAGAGGTGCTTATGGTGACATCTTATTACAATCACAATGAAAATAAATAGATAAGAAAAAACAAAACAAAACAAACAAACAAACAAACAGTGATGCTTGTGAAAAACATCTGAACCGAGACTGAACCAGCGATGTGTCATTGTGAGGGGGTGGCTGTTGTAAGAAAGAGGCGGTTCATAGGAAGGTGTTCTGTGTAGAGAGGTGGCCCTTCTGAAGAGGTGGTCATTTCTAGGAAGGCAGCCGGTGTACGGAGGTGACCGTTGTATTCGGGTGACTGCAGAAGAGACTTTTCTTATAAAGTAGATCTCTATTATGTAGTTCAACATGGCGTGACGACTTTAAGATGCTGATATTTTATGCTGACATTATCAAAATTGTTGTTTACTTTGCAGAATTAATGTGCCGTTAAGATTCAAAAGGCGTCACGTCTTTTAAATCTTAACTGCAAGTTTCATTACTTTTAAAACTTTCTCGGCGATTTTAATTGTAGTCTGATCCAACAAGATGAGATTCTTTCTAAAAGGCATTATTTGCTCCCTTTCGACTCCATGGCCTTATCAGGGAAATGGATTCACAATTATCATCAGTATATAATTACTTATCAGTTTGTAATTACTGCTTTTCTCCTGACAGATTGAGGCCGTCAAATTAATACAGAGAGCTTGGAGAAAGCATCGAAGAACGAGGAGGGTAATAATTTTTAGCCATAATATTCTGTATTTTTCATATTTTATCTGTAGTCCGTGTTCAACTTCTACATTTTTAATCCTCCACATAGACCAAAAAAATTGACTGTAAGGGGAGAGAATTTTTTGTCTTTGAAAACACATCTTGTTACACCCCCGTCAGTCGGGTTTTTGAGTCGGCTGTTTGGACGCACTCAAGTTACCGAAACGTTGTGAAAAGGTTGCCGTCATAAGGAGGTGGGCGTTGTGAGGTGGTTGTTGCTCTTGAGACGAGGGCATTGTTGGAATGTGGCGTTTGTTAAAAGTTAATCGTTGTTGAGAAAGTTCCCGTTGTAGGGAGAAGACCATTTTCAAAACGTTGGCCGCAGCGGTTCCACTGGAAAAAATAGACCTTTGATATCAACATCAACAGAATATGAAGTTTTTAAGATGATGAAACTGGAAGTTTATGCGATGATCATGGATGTTTTAGATGCTCATATTAACTGTTGATATCATAATAATTGTTGTTTACTTTGCAGAATGAATGCGCGTCCATAATTCAACGGGGTTGGCGTCGACTAAAATTAAAAAGACTTGAATTTCAGGTAATTTGATATAGTAATGACAGTATGATCACAGTTATACATGGTAAATTCAATCATTTAATTTTATGGAGCGATTTCAGTTGTATAAAATGGTGGGATTATTTTAAAATAAAAAGGGAAGGGGGTTCCAAAAGTTAACATCAAAAATTTTCTTTCAAGTAGTTTACAATGAATTCGCTTTTTTTAAAGGAAATCCAAACCGAGAGTGAGATATTTCACTCTATGTCTACTGGGCTTCAACTTTCCAACTCTTCAAACGTGCTTATGGTGACATCTTATTACAATCACAATGAAAATAAATAGATTAGAAAAAACTAAACAAAACAAACAAACAAACAAACAGTGATGCTTGTGAAAAACATCCTAATCGAGACTGAACCAGCAAGGTACAGAAGTTAAATCATATTTAATAGCGTCCCTTAATTAAGTATTGTAGACATTTCATCCACTCTTTAGTGATGTAAAGCCGACAGGGTTCTCAGTAACAAATATTTTTCTAAATTGGGCCTTGACGAAAGAAGAGTTTCGTTGCAGTTGGGACGCGCTTTAGTTGCTGTGTCATTGTGAGGGGGTGGCTGTTGTAAGAAAGAGGCGGTTCATGGGAAGGTGTTCTGTGTAGAGAGGTGGCCCTTCTGAGGAGGTGGTCATTTCTAGGAAGGCAGCCAGTGTACAGAGGTGACCGTTGTAGGCGGATGACTGCAGAAGAGACTTTTCGTAGAAAGTAGACCTCTATTATGTACTTGAACATGGCGTGACGACTTTAAGATGCTGATATTTTATACCGACATTATCAAAATTGTTGTTTACTTTGCAAAATAAATGTGCCGTTAAGATTCAAAAGGCGTCATGTCTTTTTCATCTTCATTGAACTTTTATTCTGCAAATTCGTTGCCATAAATTGAGAAGATTAAAATGAGAAGAGCTCAAACTCAAGGTACTAGAAGATAGTAATGGCGGTTGGTGCAGAGTTAGATGGCAAGTTTCATCATTCAACTTTCTCGGCGATTTTAGTTGTAATCTGATCCAATAAGATGAGATTCTTTCTAAAAGGCATTATTTGTTCCCTTTCGACTCCATGGCCTTATCAGGGAAATGGATTCACAATTATCATCAGTATATAATTACTTATCAGTTTGTAATTACTGCTTTTCTCCTGACAGAACAAGACTGTCAAATTAATACAGAGAGCTTGGAGAAAGCATCGAAGAACGAGGAGGGTAATAATTTTTAGCCATAATATTCTGTATTTTTCATATTTTATCTGTAGTCCGTGTTCAACTTCTACGTTTTAATCCTCCACATAGACCAAAAAAATTGACTGTAAGGGGAGAGAATTTTTTTGTCTTTGAAAACACATCTTGTTACACCCCCCGTCAGTCGGGTTTTTGAGTCGGCTGTTTGGACGCACTCAAGTTACCGAAACGTTGTGAAAAGGTTGCCGTCATAAGGAGGCGGGCGTTGTGAGGTGGTTGTTGTTCTTGAGACGAGGGCATTGTTGGAATGTGGCGTTTGTTGAAAGTTAATCGTTGTTGAGAAAGTTCCCGTTGTAAGGGGAAGACCATTTTCAAAACGTTGGCCGCAGCGGTTCCACAGAAAAAAATAGACCTTTGATATCGACATCAACAGAATATGAAGTTTTTAAGATGATGAAACTGGAAGTTTATGCAATGATCATGGATATTTTAGTTGCTTATATTAACTGTTGATATCATAATGTTTGTTCTCTTTGCAGAATGAATGCGCGTCCATAATTCAACGGACTTGGCGTCGACTAAAGTTAAAAAGACTTGAATTTCAGGTAATTTGATATAGTAATAACAGTATGATCACAGTATACACGGTAAATTCAATCATTTAATTTTATGGAGCGATTTCAGTTGTATAAAATGGTGGGATTATTTTAAAATAAAAAGGGAAGGGGGTTCCAAAAGTTAACATCAAAAATTTTCTTTCAAGTAGTTTACAATGAATTCGCTTTTTTAAAGGAAATCCAAATCGAGAGTGGGATATTTCACATACATTAGGCTTCAACTTTCCAACTCTTCAAACGTGCTTATGCTGACATCTAATTACAATCACAATGAAAATAAATAG